TTTCTTTTTCCTAGAGTTGGTCTGTTGCTTTAATACATTGTCACTGTGAACATGTATATCAGTGGAGACAGTTTACAAATGTAAATGTTTGCTATGATCCTGGATCCTATCATGGAGGGGTTTGTAATACACACAAAGAGACAATTAAAAGTCTGTAAACATATGCATGTGCACATCTACTTTGTGTGCGAGCATGTTAGGTTTAGATTGCATGTTGCCTCTTTGATGTGAGAGGATGAATGACACAGATTAAGCTGTCAGACTTTCCTGATAGAGGCCAGATGAGGGATGACAAATCAAGGCCTCGGTGAAGCACTCAGGCAGCTTGCCAAACCAATAACGTGTGCATCTGTGATCTTGTGTGTGGATTTGTGGTTATGAGTAAGTGGGAACTACGCAGAACTGTTTCCATTTACTCTTTATTAATTCTTAACAAGGAGGAATGTCAGGAATATTAAAGAGTTGCTCGCTTGAGGAGGCTTCAGCTGAGCAGCTTTGACTTATTTATAGCCAAAACTCCTTTTTAATAAAGGACAACAAATTAACATCCCTCCCACAAGCACACTTGAAAAGAAGCACTCAAACTACTCCCCCCCCCCCCCCCCCCCTTGTCTTGTGTCCCTGTCTGACTTCTTTATATCTGTTAATGATGACATTTAATAACAAGCTCAAGATTGACTTTAGTGCGTCACCCACTTCAACACATTGTCACTCCAACACACACACACACACCACACATACAAAAACACAGATGCAATTTCTTGATATTGGCTCTCCATCGGCCACCCACATACACAAACTGGAAATCCAGCACACACACTGGTTTTCTACCACAAAAAAACACACACGTGTTACAGATTGCACTCACGACTTTCTTATTCTTCCAGCTCATATTCGCACACCCACTGAGATAAAGCGTAGTGACATCTTACATAACAATTTATTTTTACTGTCAAAAAGAACTTGGGTTCAAAGAGAGTGTAGATTGGCACAAACTAGCTAAAAAAAAGGTGACTAGCATTAAGGATGCTGGGGGGTCAGAGGTCGGCAAAAAAAGGCTACTATAACTCACTTGGAGTTGAACATCAGTTAAATAAAGGGAGCTACAAACATAATGTGTATGTCACATAAAGAGACACAAACAGCCTAACTGCACATCACTGATGTTCTCCCACTACATTGAATATTTGGACTTTGGTTCCCCTCCTAAAAGACACACTGACAAATGTAGCAAATGAGAAGAAAAATCAAACGCAGCTGTTTGAGGTCCCGGGCCACGGGTTGTGGGGTTCCAGTCTGTCTCTCATGTCTGGCCACTTTGCTTCTTTTGAGGCCCTTTCTCAGCTCATTAAACAAGGCTTTATTGGCATGCCAAGAGTCCACCTGTGAGTCATCCAAGCCATGACGGCAACTTCAATGTATGGCCAAGCACAGGGGTCACCGTTAAACAACAGTACTGCAAAGTCAAAAGCCAAATCTGCACGGAGGCAGCCTCATTTTGCTGTAAAACGCACTGCCACAAAACGCTGTGATGTTAACGTGACACTTGCTACCCTCATGGTGGTTCTGTTTCATCTGTGAACTGATGCCAGTGACATTCATTGACCACATTGGTGTTGTCACTCATATCGGTTGCTCTTTAAAAGAGAAAGGGCTTGGAAAATGCTGGCTATTAGGTTGTAAGATTCTTACTTGATATGTGTCCAGGAGTTCTTAGCCCCATATCGCCAAAGTGTAAGTAAGAAAGAAGACTTTAAAGCTCCGTGGCAAATGGTCCCGACATGTTTTTCACACTTTATTTTTATAAAACCAAAGAAAATTCCAGTTTATTCTCAAGAAAGCTTAACAGGGCTTTACTGGAAAACCACAGCATGCCGTTGTATGGTTCCATTCCTCTGTGCAAAAGCAAAAATAAAATCACACTGCAACTTAAGGGTGTTGCCAGCATTTGTGGTCGGATTGTGGGTTTCTGCAGGAGGTATATGGGAATATGTGCAACTGCTAAGCCCTCCTGGCCTGCCCAACAATGTGCCAGTGTTTGATCCCGTCAGCCAACATCTGGCCTTCAGGAGAAGCTAAAGTTAGCGGCACATGCTGATGTCATTAGCGTAAAATGGGAGGTATATTCACAGAGCCATGACCCTCACACAGCATCCCAACACTGTGGAGAAAGAGCGGTGGATGATTAATATGATATTAGGATAAGGACAAGAGAGGATGGATTATACATCTGGGCGATTATGTAAGTGATTAATATTGATGTACTTCCACGGTTGATGGTGAGCCAGATCTTTCATGTCAGCGTATATCTGCTGCTGAACGAGAAATGAGGAAAAAGACAAGTACAGGGTGGATCAAAGCTGTAACGATGCTGTAACGATGCTTGTTAGGATTTAATCAGTTCCACTCAACCAGAGCGTCTGGCCACATCTGTCCAATCAAGACCTGTCACCATGGTGGGCTCCTGGCTCCAGAGATACATACAGTACTGCCAACCAAATATTGGTAGGCGACCATGTTTTGAGAACCCCCACATCATCAGAGACTTGTGGTTATCGTGAGGTTTTCTTTGGATCCTCTGTGGCCCGGATCTCCTCATTGGTTTAATCGATACCATTAGACATGTGTCAATGATTAATAAATTGCTGCGGTAAGGATGCTGAGGTCACTCAGATATGATAATGTCTTTATTAGATGTGGGTTATTTAGGCCCTTGGGGAAATCTTTCATTTGGTTTAGGCTTCCTCATTGGGTGAGGTCATTGCTTTGAGGCTTAGCTACATTGAGAAGGAGCTAATTTAGTGGCAAGCCTCTCAACAGGCCCATCCAGAGTAATGGCTGATGCACCTAATTGCGGTCTCCATAGCATCCATATTAAGTCACTTTGTTGGACAATTTGGCTCCACTGAAAACATTTTGTTTTGACCTTCTCACGGAGCTCAGTACAGTGATGTAGGTCACCTCTGACCCTCTTTGTCCTCATGATCCCCGCTACACTATGCCTCTTCAGTGACTCTGTGGTCCCCTTTCGACCTTAATTTATCCGTATCTGCGTGGCACCATGTCCTTCGCAAGTGACACGTGAGGGTTCAGGCACATGAGACTATTCATTTGTGCTTGGCTACCCAATCTCAGGCTGCTCTGATGGGTTTCAAAGGAAGAGGCCAGGGGCAGGAACAGGGGCCGCAGTGCATGATGCCTGTGATCTGCCATGGGAAACAGACGAGGTTATGATGCCCTTGTGACCCAGGAGTGTGGGGATCGCACGGGTCAACAGGGTTTCCCCCCCTTGTGGACACATTCAAGCTGTCATGAGTGTGAAAGGAAAAGATTGGAAATATGTGCAAGTGTGCATTCCAATCAAATTCCATTAGCTTATCATTACTGCCATTACCGTCACTATCTTCACCAGGAAACAGCATGGGATGTGAGTGTTCTTGTGCTAACATGTGGAGAACAGTGTCATGGGACATTTTTTTGTGGTGGTTATTTCACAAAGTCCCAAACTGTCTAATATGTAAATGTTTGAAAATGTATGTATATTTTATCTTTGTTTTAGAATATAACATACCTAATATAGCACAATTCCTACTCTTGTCAGTGGTGGAATAATTATTCAGATTATTAACTTGAGTAAAAGTACCAATACATCAATGTATGTGTATGTAAATACTCCATTTCAAGTAAAAGTCCTGAATAAACAAATCGTACTTAAGTATGTATTATCAGCTAAATGTACTTAGTGTATTAAAAGTATAACTTTTTTGTCTCTGTCAAAGTTGACGGAGCGACACGTCTCCATGACAACCGTTGCCGGGTCCAACAGTTCCGTACCACTTGGATACTGAGATTTCTAAAGTTTTATAGCGTTTAAGCAATGCAGAGGAGAATGAAACGGAGTTTAAGAACTTGCAGTAACATTTAAAACAAGGTATGTATACTTCCTGCTGTTTGTATTAATATGTTTGCGAATGTAAACGTTACTTTTTAGCTTCATGAAACCTAGTCAGACAAGTTTGTTTCCCGGAGAAAACACTCACGAGAAACACCGGCTGTTGTTATGCTTGCTGTGACGTTAAGTTACTCCGTTCCCCGCTTGTAAATATGCCGTTACAAGCTTCATAGTTGTATTTATCATCTAAATTTGCCGAAACAAGTTTCATATTCTGAAAGCCAAGACTTTGTTTATTTAAAATCAAACAAAACACCCGAACCCCGAAAAAATAGTTTTTTCCGCAAATCCACGTTTATTTTGAAATGAGCCGTTGCGACATCCGACTGATTTCGATAGAGCGGGTCACATATCGTTAGCCAGTAGTTTAAAGTAACTAAGTAACTAAGTACATTTACTCAAGTTAAGTACCATTTTGAGAGACTTGTGCTTTACTTGAGTATTTCAATTTGTTGCTACGTTGTACTTCTACACCACTTCAATTCAGAGGTAAATAGTGTACTTTAACTCCACTACATTTATTTAATATCTTTAGTTACTTTGCAGATTTGGATTAATGATATGAAATATAAACAACACTTAAATAACACTTCAGTTACACCTGGAGTAAATTCACAAGCTACCCTGCAGCATACAGAGAGACGTTACAATTTGCTGCACCTTTACCAGCTTTGATAAACACATTAATGCATCAATTATCATTATAAAACATGTTGTTTATATTATTCTGAAATGGGCCAATCTGCATAATGAGTATTGAATTGCATTTTGATGCATATACTTTCGTACTAGTTGAGTAACATTTTGATTTAGTCTGGTACTTCTACTATTACTTAAGTACAAGATCTAAGTACTTCCTCCACCTCTGTCGTTTACTCCTGGGGCCGAAACTAACATTATTAAACATTATAGTTTTCATTTACATTTTGAATGAACGTGTTTAGACAATAGTCTAACTCTTTGCAGTCCAGTTTTTTTGGGGGGGGAAGCATACAGGATTGAATCCAAGCTTTATGTTTACCCATTAATTATTTTTTTCTTCTTGAAGATGGAAAGGAAATATTTCCCAGATTTCGGTGTCTTGGTGCCTCATCCACCCAGCAAACCTCCAGAGCCCAAGCCTCCAGCTCTAAGTCACAGGCACAGACCCGCTCCAGTCAGAACATGCGCTGTGAATGAACAGATGGGGATCTACTCAGATATTATAACTAAACACAAGTTCCAGGTAAAAGCACATAAACTGCTCATTCATTTCACTCTTCAAATTCTGACAGACATTTCAATAACAAGCCCATGCAAATCACTGATCTTCTGTTTATTGATTAGTCTTTAACAGCGGGACCAGGCATCATGCAGAGGTCACTGGGACGATCCATCGTTCGGTATTGTGATCCCAACACTACAAAGGGTGAGATATACATGACGGCAACTATGTATTTATATTTTACTTTTTGTGTAACTATATATTTATATTTTACTTTTTTAAATACAACATTTTACCCTGTGTAAACTTATGTCCTTCTGCCTTTTTGTACTTAGTTACAACCTTAAAGACTCCATCTGACCAGGGCAAGCATGTTGAAAAGCAAAACCCTGGACCTACCTCACAGCAATCACAGCAATCCCAGACTTCTTACTTCCCCCGGGGTGGAGATTCACCCAAGGTCCAGATACCTTACCAAACAGCTCGTGGCCAGGTCCCGCGCAAGTTAGAGATAGAGAGGTATGCACTGTGACACTTCATCCATCGTTTCGGAGCTTTACTTGTTTTGCATTACCTGTAGTATGCATATTGTCCATACTGTTTTTTACTGGTCACATGTGAGTCAGTAAGACATTTCGCTTCTATCATACAGTACATATTCCGTTTTTATCTCTGATTGCAGAATTAGCTTTTTTAGTGGGGTCCATTCATTGTTTTACTTTATCTACATTTTGTCAATATTTGTTTATACTGATTTGTTTTCTTAAAGACGTCGAAGGGAATATTTGAAGTTAGACATTGAACAGCTTCTGGCAGAACAAGGCATCTATTCAAATCTTTTAATGCCAACACATCAGAGCAGCAGTGATGATCATGAGACTACAACAGACAATCCTGTTTCACCCTACTTATCCCTGGAAGTAAGTCTGTTACAACTGCCATTGTTTCTTTGGCATTTGGGTAGCCAATTACTGTTACATGCCATATTTTGTTGCACCACCCCCGATCATCTTTCCTGCCTTTCACCTCAAGGTATTTGACAATGAGGACTTTGAATGCCGGAATCCAGAAGACTGGCTTGCCCTGGGCATTGCTGAAAAATCACTGGAACAAAAACCTATCCCTGCAAAAGCTCTGCTGCCTACCGATGATGAAATTAATTCTGGTAAAATGTCCCCTGAAAAGAACTGTGTAAACAGAAGTACACATCATTGTCTGTTCTTTAATGAGTACTCTCCTTTTTGTTTTGAAGATGAGCCACAAAGCTCCTCCCTGGAGTACAGCTGGCGTCTAGTCGCTGTTCTTGACTATAGTAAGGAGAAATGCCAGTACCTTGTACAGAAAGTTTGCCAGAACAGCCAACTGACAGATAAAAAAGGTCGTCCTATTCTAAATGAAGAACACAAAAAGAGCAAATCTCCTGGTTGGTTGTAAAGTCTTTCCACTTTAATGAAACAGAATTATCCTACAATTTCCTCTTGTCTCTGTTTTTCGTATTGACTTTCCATACCATCCATTTCTCAGCAGGCACAACGTTCTGGGTACCCAGGATCAGATTGGTTTTCAGTGCTGAGGACCCACGTGTGTTTGTCAAACGGATCCAGTTTGCCCTGCGCTGGCAGGAAAACACAGAAGCTCTGCTTCTCTATCACCTTTCTGTGGACTGCATGCCAACCTGGAAGGGAACACCATCTCTTGATAGCCACGCTCTCCAGAGAATTAGAAGAATCACGCTTTCAGCCCCCGGGCTCAGACATAAAATGTGAGTGATGTCATATTACTGCTGTCATTATTCTCATTATTATCTGTTTTATAATAGATTCCTCTGAGTTCATGTGTTAACTTACTAATCGGGTGACTAAAGAAAACATTCTGTGTACAGTTTGGAGAAGTGTATCGGGGATCTGGAGAAGGAGCTCAAACTGGATTATGAGCGGACAATGAACCGCATGAGTTTTGACAGAGTTGTGATGAGACACCCAGAGGAGTTTTCACACATCACCCTGCCACAGAAGGGTCCTGCATATGTACCCCAATCAGGTGAGACGATTAGCTGTGTGCACATTTGTTTGAGTCAATCTGGTCAAGATTTAAGAATACTACTTTTTTTCCCACCGGGCGTGTTCCAGGGCGTGTTCCAGTTCCCACATTTCCCTATGAGAAGTATAAAACAGCTTTCTTCTTCAAGTCCCTGCTAACAAAGCCGGAGGTGATCCGTGTGTTATCTGAAATCTTGTCTGAGTGCAACAAAGTAGCAAACATGAGGCTGTTCAATGTCACCTCGGTCAAACCACTGCGACTGGACGAGTTTGAAGTCATTCAGGCTCAAATGCATACTCAGGTATCGTAGCATTGGGTAGCTTTTCTTCTGGCAATACTGTTAGTAGCTGACATTGAAAAAAGAGAAACCTTGACTACAAGGAAAACACCTGGATTTCACATTAATAAAGACGCTTTTAATCTTTGTGTCCTCCTCATTCTCCAGGTAAGCTTATTTCTTAGGGAGGGATGGATAGTCTCACTGAGCAACTGCATCCGATTCAACCAGCTGAGTATTGGCCGTGGCACTTACAACGTGGACGAGTCTCAATGGGAGATGTACAAGATGTCCAAGCTGTACAGATTGATGGCTGTGGTGCGCTACAAGCTGCAGGACTCCATGCGCCACCTGGTGCAGGCCTCGCTGCTCCGCCTGACTCTGCTGCTGTTAACCACCTGCCACAGTGTGCTGACATGTCCTCAGGACCTGGTCTGGGGGGACGACCTCGTCACTAGCCCATATAAGTAGGAAATTATGCACACATAGGCACACATTGAAATGTATTTAAACATCTTCATATATCGTTGTGCTCAAATGTATCTGTGTTTTCTTAGGTGGTTCCTATATTTTGCGAGTTATATACTCATTTCATTTTTAGGGACAGTTCACAACCAATTAAAAAATGCACATTATTCCTCTTACCTGACTATCTAGGTTATTTTTGTCTTGGTGGTTAAAGATAACGGCTGTAACAATGTCGGCATTCTTTGGAATATAATGGAACTAGATGGCACCAGTATTGTTGTGCTCACAGAGTCGAAAAGTAGTCTTAAAAAAACTATTTTAGAAATCATAACCCTTGTTTTGAACGACGAGTGATCATCCTTGACTAGATTTATTTCTGTGTGGTGATGCGATTGGCTGCGTTAGTTTGGTAGAAAGAAAATAGTTCCTCACTAAATTCTGCAGATTTTCCTGAGTAACCAGGCCCTGATTCAAAGAACATTTGTGGCCGTTTAGTTTCTTATTTGTAGTTGTTTTTACAGTAGCTCTTTAATCACCGCCATCTAGATTAATTATATTCAGGAAAAACTAGACATCTCATCTGATTTTGAAGAGAACTGTAACTTTAAGGAGTGTTTGATAGTGAGTGTGACATAACCTGTCAATAACATTATCTCCATTCTCCATAACTAGGTCAGAAAGGACCCCTCTGTTCCTGTTGGACTTGATTCTGGATCAGACTGGGGTTCATTACAGCACTCCACTCGAGAACTTTAAGACATCCATGGTCAACCTGTTCGATAAGGCCATTCTGGCCACTTACAAAGTACCTCAGCTCGATAAGGTACATTTTTATCACCTGAATAACAGAGCATTACATTAAAATGCAAGGCTACATGAGACCTGTTAGTAAACATACTCAGAGTAGGGCTGTCCCGAATACCATTTTCCGGGCTCCGGATATTCGGTAGTTTTGAAGGAGAGTTAGCACTGTTGTTGACAGGAAGTTGTTGTTGCTATGGAAACAACGTGACGGAGATTAACGGAGAAAAGTCATATCTACATATAAAGACGGAGAAAGTAAACGATAAAGTGTATGGTTAAGTGTTGGCACCCTCCGAAGAGGCACAAGCTCTTACGTTGATATTGGAGATTTCAATAAATTCAATTTTAACCAAAAAAAACGAAAACAAAAAACGAATATTCGAAATTGAAACCCGAATAGTACTCCAACGTACGGATATTCGGATATTCAGATATTCGGGTACAGCCCTAACTCAGAGACAAAGATGTAATGGTTGTCTCCTCATTCAGTTTGTAATGCAGAAGATGTTCGTCGGTGGGGATCCGTTGCTTGAGTCAGTGAATCTTTGGGAACCAGAAGTAACTGCGCTGAGAGAAAAGGTCTCCAATGCTATGATGCAAGGAGTCATACCTCTCAGGGCCTATGCTGCTGAGTATGAGAAATACTTAGATTTACACAACCTGGACATAGAAACCCTTCTCAAGTAAGTCTGTTAAAAGCATATATTCAAGTTTTCCCACAAGGTAAAGGGTCAGTGTGATTTATGGTCCACTCAGCATGCTTTCCTCATTAAAGAGAGTCCGTTAATCTTTCCTCTGCCAGATCTCCTGCGAATGCAGAACAGACATCCCAGGAAGTGAAAAAAGAGGTGGAACAACATCTCAAAGACAAGGAAACACTTGAGCACTCTCTGCCGTCCTCCATTGTAATTGGAACATTTGTTATTCGAGTGGAGGGTGTACGTCAGGCTCTCTCCAACAAAAAAAAGGCTTTAGCCAATGCAATGCTGGCCATCCTTGCTGGGAAGCTAAGCAAGCAGGTTGATGAAGTAAGTCATTTGTTTCAAGGCCAGAAAAAGTATATACTGTATTGGTATAATTGGTGTGATTTTATTTCTTCACACTGGACCTAAATGTACCTCCTTTTGAAAGTGTTTAACACTGATTGTATCTTGCGTGTGCGTAGGCATGTGAAGAGTACAACACAATCAGTAGAAAGCTGCGTGAGAAACTGAACAGCATTGAAGAGCTGAGTGAGAAGAGGGAATGGATGAAGCAAGTCCCAGACCAGCTCAAGAGTTACAAGGTGCACATTCGCAATCATTGACTGGCTATTTTCTTGTGTGTCATATAAAGGGTTAATTTGTCATTTAATCTGATTGTTTGTTCCATCTGTCCACACAGGAAGTTATTGGAAAGACCCTGTCAGACTATGAGCTAATAGAAGAGCTTCGCTACTCTCTTTCAAATGAGGATTTTGATAAAAAGTAAGAGTAACGTCAATTATTGTAATGTTTTGAAAACTACGTTTGTACGTTCTCATGTGAGATTAGATTTCTTTGGTGAATGGAGTACACTTTGGAGTTAAAGCTACTTCTCTCTGCAGGTGGACAGCTATTAGATGGCCTCAAAAGATAATAAGCCAGATGGAAGCAGCGGCCGCCCAGCATTTGGAGGATGAAGAGCGCTTCAATAAGATTCAGCTGGCCGACCAGAACAACTTTGAGGACCACCTCGACTCGCTAAAGGTCAGCCGAACCTAATAGGTTATTTTTATATCAGATTTTTATTTGGGCCAGAGTGTCTTTATTCCAGAGAGGGTGTTAAATTGAGAGATAGAGGGGAAGACATTGCCTGAAAACTTCGGCGGGCTCGGGTTTCGAACCCACCTACTAGCTACTGTAGTGTATTGCATCTCTGCGTGAATGATTAGATCATTTCACCTAAATTAAATCAAATGAAATGATGTTGATGGTTAAATTAGCTTCACATGTAGGCCTACTGAGTTCTGGATTTGCCATTTAGATCTAGAAAGACCTTGGGGCTATGTTGTTTGATTTAATTAAACACAATATATGCACTCCACTATGCTGTTGTAGTATTTACTGTATCTGAAGCTCTTAATTATGATTGCTCATATTTCAAGCCATCTTTTTCCCGGCCCCTTGCTTTGGATCATTTTCATCAACCGGCCCCATTCCAAACTAATTGAATAGCCCTGTTCTAAACCGTTCAGCATATTTTTATAGAAGTGGTCTCCCAGGGTTTCAGTTTTCTGGAGCAATTAAATAAAAGCATCAGAATTTAAAAGAAATATAGTCCGAAGCCCTTTGCACTGTACGAGCATAGGCATGTGCCTCATTTCTTTGCAAACTCTAGCTACAATTTTGGGGATCGCTTCCGAGATAGAGAGAAAAGTATAATAGTTTATATATTATATTGACTGTAATTGCAGAGGGTAAATTATTATTTACATCATCATTAAAGGATATATTAAAATGAAAATTGTGTGATTTTTTTCAAGTGGATTTGTACCAAACAATCATTTTTTTATTAATTCTATATAATACAGTTTATTGGCTAGAATATCTGCAGGACCATAGTACTTAATTCATAATTATTTATATATATGGAGCTTACTGGTTCTTGAATATTGCTCTAGTCCATATTGCGATTTCAATTATATTACAAGTGCAGCCCTAATCGTTTCTAACGGTAGCCACGAGCTGTTCTAAATTACCACTACCCTGTGTTTATAGATGCTGGTTGCTGGGATTGCGTGTCATGATGACATCAATCATGCCCATAAGGTGGCCAACAAAGTGAGGCGTACAAGCAAGCAACTGAAGGACTGTCTGACAATGGCTCAAACCTACAACACCAGAGAGCGTCTGTTTGGTATTCCTGTCACTAATGTAAGTACAAACAATATCCACGTTTGTTTTGAACTGTTAAACAAATAGTGATAAAATATACTACATAGATATCATAATAAGTATTTCTGACAATGCATTGTAAATGTGTTTTTCAGTATGATCGGCTACAGAAGCTGGTGAAGGACTTCCAGCCTTTTACGGACCTGTGGACCACCACCTCTGATTGGATGCGTTGGCACGAGAACTGGCTCAATGACCCGCTGTCTTCCATAGACTCCGAGCAGCTGGAGCGCAATGTTACAGATGTCCACAAGGTCATGAACAAATGTGTGAAACACTTCAAGGACATTCCTGGTAGGAGACGCATGTATGACCATACAAACTTGACAAAGGGAAGTGTAATTGTTGTTAATATGCTTAACGATTTCTTTATTGGCCTTATGCAACGCCAGGCTGCCAGATGGTTGCATCGGCGATCTGCATCAAGATCAAGGACTTCCAGCCGTACATTCCTCTGATTCAGGGCCTGAGGAACCCGGGGATGAAGAACCGCCACTGGGAGATTCTTTCAGACCGCATTCAGATGAAGGTCAAGCCCAAAGATAACCTCACCCTCTCTCGATGCCTGGAGCTGGGCCTACAGAACCACATAGAGGACATAGCTCATGTGGCCGAGGTGGCAGGGAAAGAGTACACCATTGAACAGGTACCTTAATAACACAGTGATTCATGAAGTTGTGCTTGTACAGGATGTGCGATGAATGGCGCGCCACCTTGGAGCTGCATTTTAAGTAGCTGAGTCGTATTCACTGCATGGTAATCCTTGAGATTTGAGTCCTGGTTGATGAGTTGTCCCCTGTTCATTGGTGGAAACAGCAACTGTTCAATACTGCAGGTCACAGAATACTAGAGGAACAAAGACAAACATTTTTTTTCCATAAGAACAGACAGAAGTTTGCTCTTTTCCATCAATCTGTGAGTCTGCGAACACCGAATGTGAAAGAAGTATGTTACCTCATTATTTCTATTTGATCCACTGTAAAAAGAAGTAGAAAAGTGAACATTGTCATTTTTTGATAACACATTTTTGATGAATGATAGCAGACCATGTCAGGCTCTGTTAACCCTTAGATGCACGAGTGACTGGACCCTACACTCTTCCATAAGTGGGTCAAAAAGGACCTGTGTTAGAATAATATGTGTTTTTATGCCATTTTTGTCATTTTGGTTAAGAAAAATCACTTGTATAATATTTAGTATTATATTTTGGTTCACACTAGAAATATTTTATATTTAATTTTTCACTATTTATAATTTTAGACATTTTTTTACATTTTGAAAAAAAACGTTTTGAACATATTGATGCAAAGATCCCCGCTATTCTGAGACCCCCACAGTATTCAAGTCCCTTTTCAAAACTAATCTCTTCTCCTCTTGTCTACTCATAGCCCACCCCCCATCAATCCATGCTGGTTGATCAAGTTTGATAGTCCTATACCCCCCACCCTAACCTTCCCTTATATTGTAAAGCGATTTTGAGTCCTTGAAAAGCCCTATAAAAATATAATGTATTATTATTATTATACTGACAGGTATCAGATCTTGCTGTGTAAAATAATCTTCCTGAGAGGTGTCACTTGTGATGTAGTCTGTGTGGTCTACAGTGAATGTATTCCTGACAGCAACAGGTGATAAGAATCAAAGGTTCCCATAGGATCCCATAGGAAATGCATGCGCCACAGACAGCTTAAAGGTGGGGTAGGTAAGTTTGAGAAACCGGCTCGAGATACACTTTTTGTTATATTCCATGGAATGCTCTTAACATCCCGATAGCAATGAATATCTTAAGTGCTTTGAGAAAAAATCCATAAAAAAAATTTCATCTGTGGAAGCCGTGGTACTGTAAAAAGTACGACCAATCATTTTAGCCGGCCCGGCTAAAATAACTGGATGGCCTACCTGCCTGTCAGCCTTCCATCTGGGCACAAACTTATCTCGTGCCCTCATTGGTCATGTGCGCGTTCGTGTGTGTTGGAGGAGGGGCTCTATAAGGAAGTGGCAGATTTTTTTCCGGTGGTGTATTTTCAAATTCTAGCGATCTCGAGCTGGTTTCTCAAACTTACCTACCCCACCTTTAATGTTACATATGTTAAATATGTGACATGCATAAAAAAAAAGTACTAAGTTATGATATATAAAAAATATATAATAAAAAATATAATAGAAAAAAAAAAGTTACATAATTAAAAAAAATACACATCCTGTAACAGTTCTACGGATTTAGCAGCCAGGTATATATTACACAGTTATTAATGGCATCTATATATATTGCACATCTAGCACATATTGCACATAGGTGGTTGGTATTTAACAGCAGCAAGTTACACAATTTACAAAATACAAAATACACACCTTGTAACAGTTCTAAGGATTTAGCAGCCAGGTATATATTACACAGTTATTAACAGCATTTATATATTGCACATATTGCACATCGTTTGTTGGTATTTAGCATCAAGGGGTGATATAGTCTGTGTTGTGGTGTGTGTGTGGGAGGGGGGGGGGGGGGGGTCAATAGGGGCTGTGCTGGTTGTATAGTCTGACTGCTGCAGGAAGGAAAGACCTGTGGTATCTCTCCTATAATGTGTTACCTCATTAGGTGGAGGATATTAACAGAACCGATTGATATTCAAATTAAAATCTTTAAGATCAATGCTTTAAAATGCATTTCACTTGAAAGCACTTGACTGAAATGTAACACCAAAAGGATGGTGACACAGAGGCGAAGTGACTCGTGGGTTTTTAGATTAAAGCAACTCACTTACTCTTTCCTGTTGAACACAACAAGTGTGTGGATATCTGCATTAAAGTGGTGGCTGCTGCCTTTGTTTCACACCTATTCACACAGGCCCTGGACAAGATGGAAAACGAGTGGTCAACAATATTCTTTGACGTGTTGCCCTACAAGGATACAGGCACCTACATCCTGAAGAGCCCAGATGAAGTCTCACAGATGCTGGACGACCACAATGTCATGACGCAGAGCATGTCCTTCTCTCCCTTCAAAAAGTCCTTTGAGGCCCGTATCAACACCTGGGAGGGCAAAATCAGAATGACTCAGGTACACACACAAACTATGGTCTTCTTGAGTATTGTATAATTATTATACAGTGTCTTTTGTCGTGCTACTGCCCTCTTGTGGTTTCTGCAGGACGTGCTGGAGGAGTGGTTGACATTCCAACGCTCCTGGCTTTACTTAGAGCCCATCTTCAGCTCGGATGATATCACCCAGCAGCTGCCTGTGGAAGGAAAGAGATACCAGCTAGTGGATAGAACGTGGAAGGCAGTCATGAAAAGTGCCTTTAAAAATCCAAAGGTCAGAGCCTCCACAGCACTACATATGAAAGGAGAAAGCTTTTGTTTTTATACGGAGATGTTAAAGTGTGTGTTTATTTCTAGGTGATTGAGCTGTGCCCAGATTCTAGGCTACTAGAAAAACTGAAAAGGTGCAACGAACTGCTGGAAGAGGTCCAGAAGGGTCTTAGTGAATACTTGGAAACAAAAAGAGGCTCCTTCCCCAGGTAAGCCTTTTTTGAAAGTGTCCTTATAAATTACTCTCAACTACGGATATTTGTCATTAATTATGAGATGATTCAACATACCATTCCCCGGAGAGGGTCTGCAGTCATGTTCATTTGATATCAAAACCTGAACAACATTAAAGGTGGGGTAGGTAATTCACTTCAGAAACACTTTTTGTTATATTCCATGGAATGCTCTTAACATCCCGATAGCAATGAATAAATGAAATGCTTTGACAATAAATACATTAAAAATATTTCATCTGTGGAAGCCGTAGTACTGTAAAAAGCACGACCAATCATCTGAGCCGGCCTGGCTAAAATAACTGGATGGCCTACCTGCCTGTCAGCCTTCCATCTGTGCACAAACTTATCTCGTGCCCTCATTGGTCATGTGCGCGTTTGTGTGTGTTGGAGGAGGGGCTCTGTAAGGAAGTCTGAAGGAAGGGGCAGATTTTTTTCTGCTGCCTACTTTCAAATTCTAGCGCACTCGAGCTGGTTTCTCCATTCTTACCTACCCTACCTTTAAGTGGCCGAAGAAACTTTTTTTTTATAAGTGTTGGGAGTAGCTGTGATACCAAAAACAAAAGAAGCAATGGCTTCTAATAACAATTAACAATAGATGATTTCTGACCCAAAAATGTGTTTCTATGCAAAATCACGAGACACTTGGAACTAAATATTTCTAAATATTTTCTTTGTAGGTTTTACTTCCTGTCAGACGATGAACTCCTGGAGATTCTGTCCCAGACCAGAGATCCTACTGCTGTTCAACCTCACTTGAATTTTAACTGAAATAAGGGTCTTTCAGGGAACTACACATTTTTCGAACTCTTAAGTGTTATCAAATTACATTTCCCAAAGGCCTCATAGAACAAAAAAAGACTCTTTCCATTACAAAGATATCATAAATGATGTATGCCCAATAAGTCGGGTGTCTGGCTTAAGTCATTTCTTTATTTAATTACATTTTCAAGCATCTACACTCATTAATCTTTATAAGTATGTTGTTGAACTGTTGATGAATGTAGTAGTTTATGAAATAGCCACTTGTATTTGCCACTTTTTAAAGACTTGGAGTTCCTTATATAGTCTTGCAGTATAACAATTTAAATATTAAAAATGTGTGAAAATTATAAACATTGTTGGGGAATAATTTGCTTAGGTACTCAACCTTTGACACAGTTCATCTTTTTCTCCTCTCACTGTCTCCTTTCCCATGGCATAGTTCTACGGCCTTGGGTATTGCTGCTATCTCTCTTAAGGAGGGGCAGCTTGGGCGCATTGTTGTTGCCAGTCTATGACAGAGCACAAGCCGCCATGAGGTAGTTTACTGTTCAGGGACGAAGGTTCCCTGGCGCACATTCTTTTCTATGGACGAGAGCTCTAGTTAGATTCAGGGTCCATATTGCTTTAGTCTCGCTGATGAAGAATGTTGATTATTACACTCCGAAATAGTTAAAACCTCGAGCTGCAGAAAGAGTTCTTCAGAATTGGTTTGGCAACCGCTGTGTCAACTCGTGACACACCACATGTCTTGTGAATTCTCCGGCCGAAGCTCCAAATAAACCGTCAGTGTTTGCCATCAAAGCTCCAGCTCTCCTCGTGTCTCTTTGAGTCCTGTTTCCAATTGCTTCAGAAGTTTCCCCCACAAACATGATATTATTTATACTCCCATTTGCATTGATCATTGTGCACACCACAGTCTGCTGACATCCTAAAGACTTCCCCTCTTGTTTCTGAAGCTGGGCGACTTGGTGCAGCTGGTGAGAGGACCTCTGTCTAAGATGCAGCGGGCGGTGCTGTCTGCCCTCATCGTCATCGAGGTCCACGCTAAGGAGGTTGCAGCCAAACTGGTGGAGCTGCAGGTCTCCAGCAGCATCAATGACTTTGAGTGGATCAGCCAGCTCAGGTTGGCTGTTTGTATTTTGATCTCTCTTTGCTCTTTGGTTCGGTAACTCCTGACGCTGCAGTCCACTTTATCTGTCACAGCTTCTTTCCTGCGTTTCTAAAAGCCACTATAGAAGCAATTCAAAAGATATTTCCAACACGTTATCCTTCCAGTTATTAGTTTATTCACAGTCAAAACATGTCCAGCTTGTGATGCTGGATTGATGGTATGCTGCTCGTGTGGTTAATCAAAATAAAATAAAGTTGTTTCCACACACATTCAAAAAAGAAATTATGCATATACAAGATATAAATTAATAAAAACAGAAGAGGCATACCTCAAATAACATTACAGCAAACATTTATTTCTTTTTGCTGGATGATTACGGTTGAGAACTGTGTCTTGTTGGCACACAGGTTGCCAAATATAGCCCTATATAATTGGCTGGTGCTGTGGGAATTGTAGTCTTTTATCTTAATGGACTGCATTTGACTCCACTAGGTGGCAATATTATTCTCACAAAACTAGCTCTAACACTACATTTGTGCAATACTGTGGATGCAGAATGAGAATGACACTGATGTGATACTGTTTGTAGATATTACTGGACCAAAAATGACTTGTACATCCGGGCAGTGAATGCAGAGTTTTTGTACGGATACGAGTACCTTGGTAACTCCGGACGTCTGGTCATCACCCCGCTCACTGACAGGTAGGTGTAAAGTATAATGTTTTTTACTCTGTTTTGTATCGTTCTCCCTTTTAATACACTACTCCCTGCCCCATCCAGATGCTACCTGACCCTAACAGGAGCTCTACACCTGAAGTTCGGAGGGGCTCCTGCAGGTCCAGCAGGGACAGGGAAGACAGAAACCACTAAAGATCTGGGAAAGGCGCTGGCTATCCAGACCGTTGTTTTCAACTGCTCTGATCAGCTGGACTTCATTGCTATGGGCAAGCTTCTCAAAGGACTGGCCAGGTGAGAGGCAGTAACTAAAGTGTGAAAGAAAATCTGCAGTTAATCACATTCATGGATGCCTTCTTGCCTGTCTGCCTTTTCCGCAGCTCCGGGGCCTGGGCATGCTTTGATGAGTTTAATCGTATTGATGTGGAGGTGTTGTCTGTTGTGGCGCAGCAGATCACCACCATACAAAAGGCCCAAATGCAAAGGGTGAGAAGCTGATTCACTAGAAATGCATTTACTTTTCAACAGAGTGCTTGAGTTATGCATAAGTACAGTCTGTATTTCCATGTACATATTGTATATACTGTATGTTGTATTTCTACTGCATTTAAAAAGACGTTTGTTTGTTTTGCTGTATTAGTTTGATATGTTTTATATTTTTGAGTTGAATAACCTTAACTATGTTATATAATGTAATGTAAAAACCAACATAGGTTATCATCTTTCAGTCATCTGTTAAGCATTAAACATGGTATTATTGTTTATTATTATTATTACTAAACAGTTTAATATCATACATTGCTAGTTTTGACATTTGTAAATATTGTTTTATATAAGCAAAGAATCAGATTTCTTTTTTTCATTCCACACATAGAGGCAGCCTTTTTAATCCCTATAAAATGTTTGTCTAATGTGTGTGTATGTCGTGTTTTCAGGCAGAGCGGTTCATGTTTGAGGGGGCAGAAATCCCTCTTGTCCAGTCCTGCGCCGTGTTCATCACCATGAATCCTGGGTACGCCGGACGCACGGAGCTGCCTGACAATCTCAAGGTTTGAAAAGATAATTTTGAATTAGCTGTGTCACACCAAAGATAAGCAGATGGGGGTTAATAAAATGTTACACTCTACAGGCACTGTTTCGTCCCGTGGCGATGATGGTACCTGACTACGCTATGATTGCTGAGATCTCCTTGTACTCATTTGGCTTCAGTGATGCCAAAATCCTCTCCAAGAAGATCACCACCACCTTCAAGCTCTCCTCCGAACAGCTCAGCGCTCAGGTTTCGTATGGACTTGAAGAAGATCAGAATTAGGATCGGTTTAATGTCCAAATACATGTTATATATATCCCAAGAAAATGCGCTAATTTGAAAGGGAAATCGCTGTAGGTAATAATATACTTTGACTGACTTTTGCTCTTGTTTATATGAAGGATCATTATGACTTCGGTATGAGAGCGGTGAAGACTGTGATCTCAGCTGCTGGAAACCTCAAGAGAGAAAATCCTGATATGAACGAGGTATAAAATGTTTCTTCTGTTCATGATGGAAATAATGTATAAGAAATATGACACAAATATTAAATAATTCAAAAAAATACCCGTCCTTTTAAATATCTAATTATTCTGCAACCTCCCAGGAGCTGATCTGTCTGCGAGCCATTCAAGATGTCAACGTACCAAAGTTTTTACAGGACGACCTGAAGCTCTTCAACGGTATTGTGTCCGATCTTTTCCCAAAGACAAAACAGGAGCCAATCGACTACGGCACACTGGAGGAGTCCATGCGTGATGTCTGCACCAAGAAGAACCTCAAAGATGTGGATGGTTAGTGTTGCTGAAAGCACTGAAATGATGTTCTCAGATTTCCAAGTACCTATGACAACTATTAGGGCCACGGTAGGTCAAGAGCAAAGAGGAACATCTAAACTACTGGGATTAAAGTGGAAATTATAAAAGAAAACATTTGTGATATTATCTGAGATTATGAAGTCAAACTTTTCCCTGAAATGCACAGAAAACTAATTGTTTTTAAAGTAAATTGAACACTTTTAATCTAGGGATATTTTGAGATTTTCCTCGTAGTATTATGTCCCTTCCACGGCTCCGTGATATATATATTTGTTGTATCTATAAAGGCGTTGTCGAAGGTCCCTGTATTTTTAGGATGAGTATTTAAAAGTACTGTTGTGATTGCAGGGTTTATTTCTAAGTGTATTTAGCTGTATGAGACCACTGTGGTGAGACACGGCCTGATGTTGGTGGGACCCTCTGGATCCGGTAAAACCAAGGTGGGTCTTTAACTTGTTTACAGTTTAAATCACAGTCCTCCAACGTTTGAAATTATTTTTGTTTTTGCATGTCTGTCTGTCTGTCTGTCTGTCTGTCTGTCTGTCTGTCTGTCTGTCTGTCTGTCTGTCTGTCTGTCTGTGTTAGTGTTATGAGGTTCTAGGTGCGGCGATAACAGCTCTGAAGGGCCAGCCCTCTGTGAGCGGCGATGTGTATGAAGCGATTCAGATATATGTCCTCAACCCAAAGTCTATCACCATGGGACAGCTCTACGGGGAGTTTGACCTGCTCACACACGAGTGGTAAGTTATGTTATGTCTTCCTCAAAATAAACCTTTACAAATTCCAACTTATACTATAAACAGACACACTTTTCTCCCCCTACAGGACAGATGGCATCCTTTCCGCTGTTATCCGTGCAGGTGCATCATCCATGGACACTGTGAAAAAGTGGTATATGTTTGATGGGCCAGTGGACGCAGTTTGGATTGAGAACATGAACACTGTGCTCGATGACAACAAGAAACTGTGCCTCAGCTCGGGGGAAATCATCAAGCTCAGTGAGGTAAGGTTACCTTTTCACAGTCTTCATTTTGTCCCTGTTGCTAACACAGGGGGTCCGCGGGGTCTTAAAAAATATTAAAAGTTGATAAATCAATTTAGCGAAAATGAAGGCTATTAAAAAGTATTAAATGGCATTTTCCAAGGTATTACATTTTGTAGCTTGTTTTCAATAAGTATATAAATTGTCCAAAGAGTTTGTATTCTACAGTTTGCCTGAATGTAATCATTGCGTAGGTGTGTAGTGTGATTCTGTGTAGTTTATTTATGGCATCCCGTTGGATTTGACGTCATCTGAACAGGACATCGCACGCTCACTGCTTGATAGCGCGTTATGGGGAAATGCAAGTCTGCGTCCAAATGGTTGGAAGATAAGGAGGAAGGACAATCAATACTGTATATAGTAAATGTGAGGTAAAGTGTGTCGCCAATGGAACCGGTTAAAACTTGAAGTGGCGATGAGGTCTTAAAATGTATGGAAAGGGTCTTAAAAGGTATTACATTTTACGTCAGGATTCCTGCATATACCCTGTAACACACAATATACAATGGGTGTTTCTCAATGTCAAGGACGCTTCCTTGGTAGCACATGTCTTCCGAGTCAGTTGCTTCAGAAGCGAGGCAAGAATCCTTCCTAGCCTCGGAAAACGAAGAATGGTGGAACAGAATAACAGGTCTGCAGGTGTGCGTCATATGCGAGGCCCCGCCTTAAATGGAGCGCGATTTCCGCCAAAGATTTGGAAATTGGTCCGTGCGCAAAGCATTGTGGGGATTTTAAGACCGCGGAGTCTACACATGTGCAGCCTCGAAAGTTCTCGCTACGAAGGACGCCGGGCTCGGTAGAATTCCAAGGAGCCTGGACATTGGACCAGTCCTTCGGCGGGACTCGATGACGTAGCATCCTTGAAATAGTGGCTCTGGAGCATCCTTCTTTGACATTGAGAAACACCCAATATGTACCTTTTGTTCACAGTGCAGGGAAAAACTAACAAATCACCTGGAAAAAAACATGAAAACATTTTTGCCACACAGTGCCAAAGTTAGAAAATGATCCTGATAAAACTTTTTGACAATAGTGAGTTTTCCTCAAAAGCTGTTTCCATGGCAACGCATCCCTCGCGTGAAACACGGTTTTCTCATAACTCAGAACATGCTCCAAAAGGCCCAAAACTTCACAGGTTTGATAACGATGCAGCCATCAACACATCTAAGCATATTATGGGGTGTCATCAAATTACGTTGCCATGGCGACAGATCACTCGCCATCAAACACAATGTTTGTGTCACTGCTGTAACTCCCATGTACGTTGACCGATCGGCCTGAAAATTCCCACGTTTGCCAACGGCCGAGTCCTCGAGACACCTACGTGACACGTCGACGTGCGGACAACAGCCTGCGGAGCGTCGAAGACCCGCTCAACGCTGCTTGCAGCTTTAAATCAAGGTGTACAAAAAACAAAACCCTTTTTTCATATTTAACTTTGAAAATAACCAAATGAAAAATGATCTTGTCAAAAAAAAATGTCATATGTTTTTAAATCATAAAACAGGAGAAAAATACTATTTGGATTAGCCTAAGAAAATGGATCACAAAGACATTTGTTTCTCACTTGCCTCTAAGGACTTCCGTATCTGTCGTTTTGTGTTTTCTCCCTGCAGGTGATGACCATGATGTTTGAGGTGCAGGACTTAGCGGTGGCCTCCCCAGCCACAGTGTCTCGCTGCGGGATGGTCTACCTGGAGCCCAGCGTTCTGGGCCTCGTCCCTTTCACAGAGTGTTGGCTGAGGCGAGTCCCTGAAGCCCTGAAACCGTTCACAAAGCAGCTCGAATCGCTTTTTGCCAGGTTCCTCCAGGTGAGAGACGGAACTGAGAGACACCAGCAGCAGGGAATCCAAAAGCTTTTCGTTATGACTGCATGCAGGGCCGTTTCTTCCTATAGGCCACTAGGGGGCCCCCAAGCTGAAAGTTCAGGTTCAGCCTCAATATATTTGGGGAGAATTAAAATTAGCCGTCTTTATTTGTAGACAGCCAAGCCCCCCTCCTGTGTTCGGTGAAGCATTATATGCTTAAAAATCTAGTGTAGGATATAAACACAAATAAACTGCAACGATAGCAAAGCTGTGGCTTGTGTTTTTGGGGTAATAAAGCCCAAATCATCGTTGGGTTGTCAGCCAATGAGTGACGTCTGAGGAAGATGAAAAATGTAAATTATACATTGTTGAAAGAATGCTGCATCTCTTGCATTTATTGACGTAGAGGAGCCTTATTGTTTACCTTTTTAATATCATTTTTTGTAAGTTTCAATTGCTTGGTTTTTGTGAAATTAGCCTGTTTTCCTCCTAAAGTGTAACAGATTGATGCTTCTCCACAGATCCTCTTAAAGGCTTCGGAATCCCCCCATTGCAGTTAAAAAACTGTAAAAACTAGGGCCCCCAAAAAGCTAGAAACGGCCCTGACTGCATGTGTGTTAATGTTTCTTTGCTGTTACCCAGGACGCCATCACATTTGTCCGCACATCAGTAAAGAAGGTCATCACATCTCTGGACAGCAACCTCACCTGCAGTCTGCTTAAAGTTATGGACTGCTTCTTCAATCCCTTCAACATTAAAGAGGTGTGTGCAGCTTCTCTCTGTTAGATTCACACGCAACTTGTCTTAACCATCAATTTCATGTTGGTAAATAATTTGTCAAGCTACCTGAGCAGTCATCAAGTCGTGAGTGTAAATTAATGTGCAGGAAGTTACTGATTTCACCTTGACAAAACCCTTTCTGTTCTTTGTTCTTTGTATAAGTGAAATGTGTCGATTGTGATCTCCTCACCTATATAATAATATATGCCTGGCTGCTAAATCCGTGGAACTGTTACAGGATGTGTATTTTTTTTAATTAAGTAACTTTTTATTTTGTATTATATATGTTTTTATTATATCATAACTTTTTAAATGCATGTCACATATTTAACATATGTAACATTAAGCGGTCTGTGGCTCTTTTTCCTGCTGTAACTACGCACATTTCCCCTCCGTGGGACTAATAAAGGGGTTCTGATTCTGATTCTGATTCTGATTCTGTTCCGGTTCCTAATCAGTGCAGCACTATTGTGTGACTTTGATCAGTATTGTTTTTATGTTTAGGGAGAGTACAGGGCAGCCATGGCAGAGGAGTGGCTGCAATGTTTCAAAAAGCTAAATGTTCCACACACTGACGAACCAAACCTGATCAACACCTTCGGAGACCCGGTCAAGATCCGCTCATGGCAGGTCGGAACAAGATTTTGTGTTAACTATTGATTTTTTAAATATATTTTTCGGGGCCAGTGAGTTTACTTAACTTAATGGTAATTTACCTTTTCTGTCATCGTACTTTGTCATTTGAATGTGCACAGATATCAGGTCTGCCCAAGGATAACCTCTCAGTGGAGAACGGTGTGATCACCCAGTACTGTCTGCGCTGGCCTTTATTCATCGATCCTCAGGGACAAGCCAACACTTGGATCAAAAACATGGTAAGGTCTCTTATCTGTGTACTGATCCGACCATCACTGCAGAGGGCGCCAGTGAGACAAAAAGAGATAGAAAGTAGCTGTGTCAAGATATCTACTGGTTTCAGTAAATATATGTGTACACATTACCCTGAATTCCTTGTGATAGCTTCTCAGTGTCTGTATTTAATCCTCCGTTTATTCAGACCTGCTTCTTGTTGTCCCCCAGGAGAAGGACAGTAGATTGGAGGTCATTAAGTTAAGTGACCGGGACTTCCTCCGCAGTCTTGAGAATGCCATTCGCTTTGGGAAACCCTGCCTCTTGGAGAATATAGGGGAGGAATTGGATCCTGCCCTAGAGCCTGTCTTGCTGCAACAAGTTAATACATACCCAAACAAGAATCTCTTGTGCAAATATCCACGATCCACCATTCACTGGTCTGATGATACACTTTTTTTGGCCCATAGACATTTGTGCTGAGAGGCAGCACCATGCTGAAGCTGGGGGACACAGTCATCCCTTACCAACAAGGCTTCAAGATGTACATCACCACCAAGCTGCCTAACCCACACTACTCTCCAGAGGTGGCCACCAAAGTCACCCTCATTAACTTCACCCTGTCACCAAGGTAACACATGTTATAAACCCAAAATGGCAAAATCGAGTTCGTTTTAAACAGGGGTGGGGAACCTCCGGCATCCGGGCCGTATACGGACCGCGAGACCATTTGATACGGCCCTCGAGGTAATCTGTTTTTCCTGGCCAAGGTCAGGGTCCTTGAACCCGGCACTTCGGAAATTGCAGTACCCATAAGGAGCCGTACACATGCCGCAGTTTTTGCGTGGCTGTGTCTTTAGTTGAAAGCCCAGTATTTCAGTCTCATATGTTTGTTGATTGTTAGTAAATAATATTCCAAAACATCCTTGATATTAAAATGAAATGTGAGCAAAAGATTGACAAGAAATCTGCTTGTGACTTTCAGAAAGAAATCCAACATTTCTTCAGAATGAATTCAGTTGATGAACTTTATTCTAACAACTAATGTCTGGCTCTCACTGTCTTTATTCTCAGCGGTCTGGAGGACCAGCTGCTGGGCCAGGTGGTGGCTGTGGAGCGTCCAGACCTGGAGGAGGCTAAGAACCAGCTGATCATCAGCAACGCCCAGATGAAACAGGAGCTGAAAGAAATTGAGGATGAGATCCTGTTCCGACTCAGCTCCACTGAGGGAAACCCCGTGGACAACGAGGAACTCATCCAAGTGTTGGGAGCTTCCAAGATCAAAGCTGGAGAGATCAAGGTAAGAAAGTGGGAGAGCTATAATCTCCAATACCCCAACAAACTTCATATATTGTGATTCTTTAGCAATGTTCCATCAAAGTCATATGCTACTGGATTTTACTAACGCAAGCTGGTTTTGCTGGCAGGCCAAAGTGGTGGTGGCAGAGCAGACGGAGAAGGACATTGACGCCACCCGCCTGGAGTACGTTCCAGTGGCTGTGCGCACACAGATCCTATTCTTCTGTGTATCGGACCTGTCGAATGTCGACCCCATGTACCAGTACTCACTGGAGTGGTTCCTCTGCATCTTCATGGCTGGCCTTGCCAACTCTGAGAAAGCAGGTAGAATTTCCACAGTAGCTCATATACACAGAACTATGTCTGTTCAGATGGAAAAGACATGAAACTGCTTTATGGCTTTAAAACACATGTGAACATTATTTTCTGCTTCCGCTGAATGTATTTGATGTGAGGCTGTGGCTCAGTGGGATTGTGCGCTGAACTTAGTGCGCTGAACTTTGAATCAGGGGATAGCAAGTTCGAGTCTCACTGCAGTCAGCATGTCGTTGTGTCCCTGGGCAAGACACTTCACCCCAAATTGCTCCTGTGGGGATTGTCCGCAGTACTGAATGTATGTAAGTCGCTTTGGATAAAAGCGTCTAACAAATGACATGTCATGTAATGTTTTTTACAGACACGGTGGAGGAGAGGATTGCCAACATAAATGAGTTTTTCACCTTCAGCCTGTACAGCAATGTGTGCCGCAGCTTATTTGAGAAGAACAAACTCATGTTTGCCTTTCTCCTGTGTGCTCGCATCATGATGAATGAGAACAAAATTGATATGGTGAGAAACGTGGGAGTTTGCAGTCTCCCTCCCCTCTTTAATTTCCTGTGGGAACTCGTACAAACACAGAGGTGGAGTTTGTCCTTTTACATTTCCTGAATTGAATTGGTCCCTCTGTGGCAGGCTGAGTGGCATTACCTGCTGTCTGGAGGGATGCCCGCCCAGGAGCTGACGAACCCAGCAGTGAGTTGGCTGTCGGAGCGAGCCTGGCAGGACATTCTGGGCCTCAGCGCTCTGGACAACTTCAGAAACCTGGCAGAGAGCTTCCCCGAACATCTGCAGGGTTTCAAGAGCATCTTTGACAGCAACCAGCCTCACAGGCATGCATAGAAAAAAACCCTTGTTAACAAATGGACACTTGTTTCCTTCATTTCTACTGTGCAGTAGCCGTCCATATCTAACGGGGTGTGCATGTGTGTGTCTTTGCTTATAGGGACCCTCTCCCAGGACAGTGGGACACCGAGCTGGACTCGTTCCAGAAGCTGCTGGTGCTGCGCTGTCTGAGGGCCGACCGTCTTGTTCAAGGCCTGCAGGACTTTGTCTCGGCTCAGCTGGGACAACGCTTCATAGAGCCTCAGGTAGAGTTTCTCTCCTCCCTCGTGCCCTAGAAGGTTCGTTTGGATCTGATGTAGTGGGGTTGTGTGAGGTTCGTATCCTTAGTCAGTGTATTACCTACTGTAGCTGGAGATCTAGCCTCCAGGTTGGAAAAGCAGACAGCAGTACTGAAGCAAAGAAATCCTCTGCTGTGGACCGAGGCAGCAGCTAAACCTATTATAGCTACCTAAAAGAAAGGAAAATTAATATAAATGTAAGCGTTAAATATATTTATAATATTTTCAACGTTTTACCTTCCCTTCGGACATCCCTTTCGGATAAAGAACTGAGGCTATTATATCCTGGGTATCCTGTCTTTAAAGCCACCAGACAGCATTTACAAAAACAGTAATTTTACCTCACTGACTGCCTCCTCATCAGCAGTCTAACTGGGACACTCCGACTGCCATGTAGGATAAGAACCTCTCCTCTCCTCTCCTCTCCTCTCCTCTCCTCTCCTCTCCTCTCCTCTCCTCTCTCCTCTCCCCTCCAGCAGTCTAACTGGGCCCCCCGACTGCCATGTACTGTAGGATAAGAACCTCATACAACCTCACTTCATACAATCCAAACTAACCCTTCACATTAAAACCAATATGTATGCACTGACACAATTAAGTCTTATTTGTGACAGTGGCTCCGAATAGTGAAGCAAAATGAACATTGCAATTTAATTCAATTTCTTTTGGTTTGTACTGCAGCAGTGCAATGTGTGGAGTACAGATTTACTATGCTAATGTCAGCCGGGAAAAATACATGTGGATGTTTTGCTTTACAGTCGTATTAATGGCTTGTTACCCTCTCGATCTTCTCACAGACGTCAGACCTGTCGGTGGTCTTCAAGGAGTCTTCCCTCTCCACCCCCCTCATCTTTGTGCTCTCCCCTGGCACAGACCCCGCTGCTGACCTCTACAAATTTGCGGATGTCATGCAGTTCTCCAAGAAAATGAGTGCCATCTCTCTGGGCCAGGGCCAGGTCAGAGCCAGGGGCTGCTCTCTCTCTCTCTCTCTCTCTCTCTCTCTCTCTCTCTCTCTCTTTGATACACAGCGCTGTAAAACACTTTCACACAGAACCAGGCCGTTCTCATCTCACTTGTTAAGAATGGCCACCTATGTGATAATTGCTTTCTCTATTTATGGCCATGGGACAGGGCGATATACACAACTATTTTAGGCAGATGCTCGATTCCAGGACACAAAAAAAAGCACCAAAAATATTACAACACCTCATGTGTAGGTTTTGGGATGAATGCAGACTCATATTCCACCCACCGGAAACTGGCCAAACATTTCTCCCAGCAACACTCTCCCCCTGAGGTTGTTCAAAAGGTGTTAGCGTGTGTTTGTCACATCACTTGCAACTATGTGAGTTAGACTCTTGGCTTGTGCTGCGCTGTTACATCAGCCTGTCCTCGTTTTACGTCTCCATTGAACCTAGTGCTCTTAAATGTTTCAGTAAGACTGCAAGAATGTCAAACTAGCTACAGGGAGATGTATATGTCGACCACTAAATAACTACACCCTTTTACAAAATATGGATGTTTTCTCTTATATTAAAGCTTCTGTTTGTGACTCTTGTTGTTGTCCTCTGCCTTTTGTTCTGCTGTTGTTTGTGTGATTCAGGGCCCCTGGGCAGAGAAGCTCATGCTCGCTGCTATGGAGAGAGGTCATTGGGTCTTCTTCCAGAACTGTCATCTGGCGCCCAGCTGGATGCCCTCCCTGGAGAGACTCATTGAAAACATCAGCCCAGTAAAGGTCAGACCATTACGCATTGATCACATGGTCTGTGCACTTTTGTAGTATTGTGAGTTGATCAATTCCTTTTATTGCTTGTCTCATAACAGGTGCACAAGGACTTCCGTATGTGGCTCACGAGCCTTCCCAGCAACAAGTTCCCAGTGTCTATTCTCCAAAATGGGTCAAAGATGACCATCGAGCCTCCCAAGGGAATCAAGGCCAATCTACAGAAGACCTACCTGAGGCTCACCAATGAGTTCTTCACCTCCTCCACAAAGGTCCGTCTGCTCCTGCTTCATATCTGGATCCACTCAAATGTTAGATTAGAAAATCAGCCATTTTGGATCTGTTTAAACATCCAGCATCTAGTGGTGACTTTAACTTCTCTCCTCTCCTCTCCTCTCCTCTCCTCTCCTCTGCTCTCCTCTCTCCTCTCCTCTCCTCTCCTCTCCTCTCCTCTCCTCTCCTCTCTCCTCTCCTCTCCTCTCCTCTCCTCTCCTCTCCAGGCATCACACCTCAAGGCTTTGCTTCTGTCTCTGTGTCTCTTCCATGGAATTTCTCTGGAGCGAAGGAAGTTTGGCCCACTGGGCTTCAACATTCCCTACGATTTCACAGACGGAGACTTAAACATCTGCATCAGCCAGGTCAAAATGTTCCTGGACGAGTACCAGGACGTCCCGTACAAGGTGGGGGGAGGAGAACTCTTCTGTCTGTATTTAACAACCTGTTAAGATAACAATACCTCAAAGCCACATCATTTGTAGTCACTCTGTGTGTGTTTGAGCCTGCTCATCTGTCTGTCTCCCCTTCTTGTTCTGCACCTGTCCAGGTGTTAAAATATACCGCAGGGGAGATAAATTACGGCGGCCGAGTGACAGATGACTGGGACAGACGATGCCTGCTGAGCGTCCTGGAGGATTTCTACTGTCCTGCTGTGCTGGAAGACGGTCACTTCTACTCTTCGTCTGGAGTCTACCGGCAGATAGACACAGATCTGGATATCAAGGTCAGATAAACGCAGGGTCTTTCAAAAGATTGTGATCAGAACACTAATCCGTCTCTCACTGTTCAGTTTAATACATGAAAAGTCTTTAGGGGGTATATTGCGAGACAGCCATCTATTAAACATGAAGATATCTTAAATTAAATAACATGAACAATTATTATTCTACAAGCAGAAAACATGACATTTGTATTTTTCAAATTAATTATACCATCAGGTTTTTAACAGGCCTGAGCTTGATAGAAAAGTAAACATTAAACATTTTACTATAAGTAAAAGTTAAATAAAATAAAAACTTTAAAATGCCAAATAAAATAAAGTAAGGGAAAAATAAAATGTACAAATCAAATGTGATATGCTACAGAAACTTATGAACTGCTGACTATCATAACCTGTTGCTCTGAAAATCTTGCTTTAGGGTTACCTGGCATACATTCATGGTTTGCCCATCAATGATACACCTGAGATCTTTGGTCTCCATGACAACGCTAACATCAGCTTTGCCCAAAACGAGTCCTTCGCCCTGCTGGGAGCTCTGGTTCGACTCCAGCCTCGAGCTTCATCTGCCGGGGGCAAATCTCTGGAGGAGGTAGCGTTTTTTTGTTGCCGAACACTGTTTAACAGCAATTTGGTTGTGATGTGTTGTGTCTTTAATATCTAGACTACATGTTGGGTTTCATTGTTGATGTTCCATGTTGTAGATAGTGGAGGAGATCGTGGCAGGCATCGTAGAAAAGATTCCTCGGCCTTTCAACATTCAGGACGTGATGGAAATGTTCCCGGTGCTCTATGAAGAGTCCATGAACACAGTGCTCATCCAGGAGGTCATCAGGTAATGTTAGGCTGAGGACTAACCACAGTCCAGACCACACGTCAGGTGTGCTTCATATAATAACACACACCACTCCGCTCTGTTGCTGTACACTTATGATCAGGTGCTGACACCGACACAGAGGGAAATTCAGATCTGCACAATCTTCCTCATTCTATCTGTCTGCCAAAAATGTAATCATAAGAAATGACTCTGGAAAAGCTGCAGATCGAGCCATAAGAAATTAATGCAACTGATTATTTAATGTTTAATGTTGTTTTTATAGGCAATAATTTAAGCTTTGTTAGTTCCAGGTTTAATATGTGCAATAAGTTCATTTCAATAAGTTTTGCAATAAACATTGAACCAGTCCGGCCCTCGACTAGTACCCATTTTTTTAATTTTGGCCCACTGTGTATTTGAGTTTGACCCCCCTGGTCTACACAGTTTAACAGTCCCACTAGGATCAACTTGGACCACCCCCCCACTAAAAAAAATGAAACGTTGACTTAAATTATGTTCATTCAGAAGCAAAAATATTAAGTTAAACTAATTTGAACTTGATATTTTTGCTTTTAACTAACCTAATGCAATTATGTACAGTAGAACCTGTTGACAATATACATTTAATAAATGTCAATGTTTCCATTTTATAGTGCAATAACTCATCTGATCAAATGAACATGTCCTTTACTATTCTTTTTAATATATTTATTAGATCAACAAGCAGGGTAATTATTGCTATCGGCGCCACACTGAAATCATTTAAACAATATCTAGCTCATAAAAACCTCAGCCAAGAGCCCAGAACAGATACGTGTTTCTTCCCATACGTAAAGATATTTTACTTTTAAGGTAAAAATGATTAACTAAATGTGTAACCATAACTCTATTTGAGTCCAGTAGCAGCAGCTGGACAGTTCCACAGTTACAGCCAGTAATCATAATCACAGAGTAGTGGTGACTTTCACTTTTCCTCTCCTCTCCTCTCCTCTCCTCTCCTCTCCTCTCCTCTCCTCTCCTCTCCTCTCCTCTCCTCTCCTTAGGTGTTGTTTTCCTAGTGCTATAAACAAGGTCTGAACATGTTTTTATTACATTTTGTGTACAGTTTCCAACTTCTTAGTGTGGAGGAAACTTCTGTGTAGTAATGCATGGAGTCACCGACTCAGGAAGGCGACACGGTGAGAGTTGGAGCTTTGATGTCAAACACTGATGGGTTTATTCAGAGTATTCGGCCGGAGGATTCACATCACAAATCAAAGAGTCAGAGGTTCTGACCACACGGTAGAGTTGCCACGTCAATTCTGAAGAACCTCTCTCTATGCTAGACCTTTTAACAGGTTCACAGAGAGAAATCAACATCTCTGAAGGAGTAGACTAAACACTGAATCATCTGCGTCCAACGCTCATGGCCTCAAGGATTTCACATCCGAGAGCCCACAAACACCGATAAAGAAGTGCTTCAGTGTTCTCACAACAATTACCCTTCGTGCCAGTCAAGTTGACCGGTCTCACACTGGGGACAACAACACATATGGCACCAAGGCCTTTCCTTAAAGGAGATAACACATGTCAGAGTAAAAGGTTAGATATCTAGAAGAATTATTCCTTAACAGTTCCTCTCTTTTTATCATTTTTGATAACCTTAAAACATTAGTCTAATAATTCTGGTCAATACTTAAATCAATAGGCGTCTTCAGATTCGAGTGTGGTCTCACCTTACATTCAATTACATCACAAAGTAGAGTAAGATTGAAACATTCAATCACAGTGATTGATACAGGCAATCATAATAGGAAAAATTATCTCTCATCAGTGTTTGGAGCATCTTTTGTCAATAAATACAATAATGAACACACATAAAAACACAGATACATAATAGCAAAATATTTGTTCTAAACTAATATCTTTTATCATTTAAACCATTAGTTAATGTCATTTATCAAACTATAAAATCAAAACCAGAAACAGCTTAAAGATTTGCTTTAAGGCAATCACTAGTCAAAAGCATTTAAAACTTAGGATCATAAGAGATCCAGCTAAGGCATAAAATTCACAGTGGTGATTTGATCAATCTGTAATCGGCAAAGTTGCAGTGTCCTCAATTTTAGGATTACTTTACGTTTACTTCATTACGCTTTAGTCAAGAGTAAGGCACTTAGTCTTAGTAAAATCAATACATTCATTTTAGTCAAGTACATTGTTCAAAATCTGAAAAGGAAAAGTTAGGCAAATATTCAAAGACTTTTGTAAAAACCTGGAAAGGAAAGGATTAAACATTCTTAAAACTTTAATTCATACATTTGTAAATGCTACAACTGATCTGTACCAAATTAAGTCTATCACTTATTCTTATTAGCCATACTTACCTGAACATCTACTGATGGTACTTGGAAAGGGTTCTTCTGTGTTTATCTAATGTTGAATATAGAATATCAATTTCTTTAAATTATAATTCTCTAATTTGAGGATCAAATATGCTACATAATTGTTATATTAATTATTATAAATATTTGTTTTGGGCCAAAACTGAAATGAATCCAGTACTTGAAACATCATTTTATGTCTGTCTGTGCATGGGTAATACATTACAGAGTAGTGTTGTTAAGCCTGAGTGCTGGATGATTAAGGATATTAACATTATCTGTTATAATATTAGAAATACCTTATTATTCAATACTTTATAATCTGAAAATATTTATTTATTAATTTTGTTTAGTGTGAAAATGTAATCTGATCTGACTAAATATATTTATCACCACTATTTAACACATGTCTGGTCATTGGAAATATAAAAAACAATCATTAATTCAATTCAAAGTTCATCTTTGTACAAGAGCTGGAAGAACATGTCCGTCAGGCTTCCTGACTCGTTCTCCTCCTCCCTTTATGACACCGAGTGTCTGGTGTGTAAAGGCATCCTGATACTGTAGATTAGCACTGAGGTGCTGATTGGCTCAAACTCTTCTTCATCAGAGCGCCATATATCAACCCCCCAATTGCTCTGCTTTTGTGTGGCTCATTCAGTGAGCACTGTAGTTAATCCCCCAGTGAGACGGAGGCTCATCTGCCGGTATTCCTTCTGCTATCTGCTTGAGTACAACTGCGTATTCCTGATGCATCCAGGTGTCCCCCCCGTGATGGGAGAGGTTAGGAATACATTAAACTCCTCCAAGAAACATGGAACCTTGTATTATAGAAGCCTCTGAAGCCCTCGCTCGTCCTGCAGGGTTGTCTGCTAGAGCCCACCGAGCAGAAAGGTGAAGAGAAGCATCCCCTCTCAGCAGAAAGGTGAAGAGAAGCATCCCATCTCGAACGACCTCGTGCTTCCTTGCACGTGGCTGGGGGTGCTCTCTGCACCCGGAGAGTGTGACCCTCTCTCTCTGACCCTTGGCCTTGAGAGCTGTCCTAGTTATTGGGTTACCACCTGATAGGGATGTTTTCTGAGTGAAGACAACTCAAAGTAATGGATTAGCACATTATCATTTAATTACAAAAATAGGATAGGCCCCTCAGAATTATTTGGGAGCCTTCCTGACACATGCACATTATCATTTTGAAGGTTTGTGTTAGTCATTGAACATGCAAGAATCATATACTCATCAGTCCATAGCAGAGAAATGTTATTGTAAGTTAAAGGTGAGCTTGTCCCTGTGGATATAACCCCTTCTCAATGATTCTAAATGTATATTAATTCACCATTTACCTTTTGATAACATATTAGTTTATCAGAAATATAATAAATTACTCTATAATTGACTCTTCCCTCCCTTTTCTTGCATATGGTACATATGAAATAATAACTTAGGAGTCTATTTAAACATGGTATAGTTTATAATCTATTAATCGAGAAGACTCAGTATCACCTGTGTGCAGCTTACAAAAAACCATTGTGATAAACATATATTATGCAGGAAATTGATACATTTGTTGAAAAACAAAGCATATCTGATTTGGGAGGAAAAGTTTCATCCCTTTAACATCTGAGTTATTACTGATGGCATAGCATGAATGATATTGGGTGTCTGAGGGTGTCATTACTGAGAAATGTCAAACAAAATCAAAACCTTACATTTGAAAACAGGTTTGCATTCCTCCACTGAAGGTGACGTTATCATTGGAAACAATAAAAGCTAATTGTTTTGATGTAGAATCTATACATTGAATCGTTAGAGCAGAACAGAATGGTTGTATTGTAGCCTGAGTTTCGTGCAGCCTTTAGTTTTACCAGGTGGAAACATTGTCTATATAATGTGAATACATGTAGAACTAGACATTAAGAGACCCCTGACATTAGGCCTATTTGAAACAATAGTAGGGGCTTTTACCAGCTCGCCAACTTACAGGCGTCCTCTGCATAGCAGTATGAATAGCCTTAAAAACAACCCACTCTGCGGTAACGAGAGTCATGTATCTGAACCAAATGCCCTAAGTGAAGCCGTTAGTCTCATCTGACTGACCCAAGGGTTGGTGCTGGTGTGACAGGGAGGCTTCCAAGTGTTCATAGCAGATGTCATGCTTTCAGTTCATGGCTCAGTGGGGGGGGAGCAGACCCACGTGAGACAGTATCAACAGCTGTAATGTTCAGCTTGAGGAGTGTCACTCTCTCTGGGAGCAGGAAATGGTGTCCATTCAGATCAGACCATTAATGTCATGTAGAGCAGCCATAGCATCTCTGTGACTGCACTCAGCCGGACTGCAGCAGGGCAGAACTGGGTGACTTTTAGTGAAGCCGTCCAAGGCCATAGACAAAATGGAACCACGTACTAACAAAAGGGACACAAGGTCATCAATGTCTCTCTTTACCTTTGGCCTAATTGTAAAACAAATTAGAGGAAGAAATGTGGAACACTAATCCATCATCATGTGACATTTAGAGTTAATTTAAATAATTACTTATGGGTTGAAGTCAAATTAACATTAACATTAGAACTAAAGTCAGTCAAAATTGGACTTGCACGGATTGCACTTGACTGGCACGAATCAGAATCTAATCAATACACCATTTTCCCAGCTCTGTAATGAAAGGGATATCAAGATTAGGTACATTACAGGAGTGTTAAAACATCCAAACATGCACACTTATCTTATTCTAGTAGAGATTAGAGGACAGGTCTAATGTTGTGAACAAAATGATCAAGTCAAAGTTATTTTATTTATTTTATCTTATGTACCACATTTAATTTAATAATTAATCTTAAATTACTAATAACTTTAAAGAAGGCAACAATTTACAATGTGGATAAGGTGACTACTTATCCAAAGTGTGTGTGGGTGTGTGTGGGTGTGTGAACAGCTTGTCTGCCCAAGGTTAAAACATTTGGGACAGCAGTGAGAATGTTATGAGAAACAATTTGTTGCTTATACTGAACTCGAAAGAAGCTAGACTGGAACATTTTAAATAAATCAAAACACTTGCACCTTAATTAAATACATTTGACATTTAGCTTGAGCTGGGTTCAATACTTTCTTTATGGTATTTAAATTGGGCTCAAGTAGAACCTTTACATGGATTTGGCTTGCAACACAAAGTGATACCGATCTCTGTCTGTTATGATTTGAAAGTCTCATGATTTAAAGTGTAGGGCTGTGAAGGAGAGGCCCTTGGAAAACAACCTCTACTTCTTTGTTAACTGTAATTACTTATTGTAAAGAGATTGCAACATTATACTTTTTAAAGAATTGCTCAATTCATTTAACACATTTATTATGCACACTGTAATGAAAACGTCAACAAATATATTGATCCTGGCTTAACCAGCGACCTTTACTCTTTTGTTCATAAACTCGGTTTCAGAAAACTTGTCAGTAGTTTAACAACTATTAGAATTTTAGTAATGTCTATGGAGACCAATTGGTTGATACGAGAAATCATTTGAAGCAGTTTAATAAAGAATGTTAAACTATATTTAAAACTGTAATTAAACTTCAACTTATATTAATTATCTGAATCCAGTGGCCAGTTGGAATAGATAATCAACAAAGTTTCCATTTTGCAGCAACAGCGCAAAAGGTTTATGTATGCACCCCGGACCGACATCAGCTCCTCAGCAATGTAGGGTGCCTGTCGCATCAGGTAATGCACGCACCTCGCACCTGCCAGCACATCGTAAATGGCCACAAGCCACGAGATCGCTTTTAAACAGTCTCTTTTTTTAATAGAGACGGCGGTGGTGTGAGTTAAAGTTATAGACAAAAGCTGTGATTTTCTCCCTCTGAGTTCACTTCACCAGCTCATGCAGATACGGGGAGGTATTTGACACACATTCCCCGGAGCTGCAGCAGCCGGAGCCGTGTTTTTTTTTTTAGAGGCGCTGGGGGTAATATCTATGGCTGCTTTAGTTAACTGCTAGTGTTGGCCGCTGAAACCCCCGGAATCTCGGCGATTTGTTCATTACAAATCTCTATTTTGATTTCACACAGAAGTTCCACTTTACTGCTGCCCTCATTAAGTTTTTTTTTTAAACATCTCCGTGTATGCCTGCACGGCACATACGTCCGAGCATCACACACAGAGGGAACCAGCCAGGACAGAGTCCCTGGATGATCCCCTGGGGTTAATAGCCCCAAATGTTCATTAACCAAAACGAAACGCAGCTGCTTAGCTTCACAGATAATTTTAGGATACCGTCAATCACAGATTCTGGTAAGGCAATGTCCAAATGTAGATTTGAAATCACACTTACCAGTCTCTGAAGATATGTTGGTATCCTGCCGACCAGTGGCGGCCGGTGGTCTTTTTTTTTGGTGGGGCTCTTGACGTACCGTAAGTGGCCTACCCGGGGGGTCCGGGGGGTTTCCCCCCGAAATTTTTTTTCGAGAAATGACCCCTTAAATGATGACTTCTGGTGATGTTAGAGGGGGGGGGGAAAGGAGAAATCGAGGCTTAAAAATATGAGAAGACTGATCAATACCTCCATAATCTTCAGTGTGGAAAATATTATTTATCAACCTGAACATCTACTACTTTACCAGGAATTTGTGTTCTCAGAACTGGTCTGTTTTTTTCTTTCTTAAAACTGTTCATGTTTTATGAACCAACACCTTCACCAAGTAGCTTTACAGTGAACTGCATGTGAGATATAAAATTAATAGCATCTTTTCAGTAGCATTAATTATAAATATTTAAGTGGTTCAATACAAGTCACTACAGCATTTCAAACTGAACTGTGAATAAATGCAATTTAAAAAAAATAACCACAGCACAAAATGTCATAAATTGTGTTTTTTTCTTTGTTTCTCTGAGGATTATTTACAAACAGGCTTATTTACATATAGTAATAACTCAGAAATGAAAAAGCTACATCGTCTAACACGAACAACCAGTTAGCATAATGATAATATATGTGTTATGTACAATGTAACTGGCAAGGCTAGAGCAAGAAAGAACATAAAGTTTGCAAAAGGTTTAAATAACTTCAAGTATCTGTCTTCAGATTACGTGGAGGTTTTAGTCCGATGGGAAGCAGATTTTAAGCGACACCGAAGATAAACCAAAAATGTGGTGGAGCTGCAAACCGTGTAGTGTTGCTGGGACAGAACAGGAGCTATAACCGTTGGAAAATACATCACAGACAATGCAACAAACGTGGAGACAGAACAATCACTTCTGTGATAAATGCCCACTTATTAATAAACTTCTAACAACCATGGGAAACCTCCTCTCTACATATAAAGTGATATCCAAGCATGGGAAACAAAAGACAGCATTTACCTGTTTGCATCCAGCTAGCCAAGCCTTTCTTGTGTACCAGCTACTTGTGAAGCCTCGTGTATAAATGTTGTCTTTTTCACGAGATTGCTGCGATATATTCAAATCGGGTTGGTCCGGTGCAAGGTCTTTAAGCAACAATTTATCTGCCAAACTTCTCCTTTCGAAAGGATTGGAGATTAGCTCTTGAACAGAATTAGCCGGGGACCGAGGTCCGGAGACTCCACCTGCACACGAAGCCATCCTCATCAACTACTGCGTCAACCGGATACGAGTCACTGTCCAAACTACTCACAGACTGCACTGGGCGCTGACATTGGCGCCCCGGTGACCGTCATCTTTGACGACGCTGATTGGCTGAAATTATATTTTCGCGGCATAGTTTACACGTTACAGATAGCAACAGTCAGCTGCTGGTGGCTGCTGCTGCACTGGTTGAAGGCTCCTCTCTTAGCGCCCAGACGAGAGAAGGTGCATGGGCAAGGCCAGGCAGGAAACATGTGACTTATCAGTAACTTTAGACATCGTAACACAATTTTAAACGAGATTTTATTGTAGATTATACATTTTACTGATACCAATTATATAATATTTACCTTGTTCATTAAAAATAAAAATAAAAACATATATTTTTTTAAACATATTTTTTTTTTTTAATTTTAATTTTAATTATTATTATTTATTTATTTTTTCAATATGGGAAGAGGTGGGGCGGCGCCCCTAGCGCCCCTATGGACCGGCCGCCACTGCTGCCGACAACGCCAATTTGTGGAGGAAACTTCTGTGTAGTAATGCATGGAGTCACCGACTCAGGAAGGCGACACGGTGAGAGTTGGAGCTTTGATGTCAAACACTGATGGGTTTATTCAGAGTATTCGGCCGGAGGATTCACATCACAAATCAAAGAGTCAGAGGTTCTGACCACACGGTAGAGTTGCCACGTCAATTCTGAAGAACCTCTCTCTATGCTAGACCTTTTAACAGATTCACAGAGAGAAATCAACATCTCTGAAGGAGTAGACTAAACACTGAATCATCTGCGTCCAACGCTCATGGCCTCAAGGATTTCACATCCGAAAGCCCACAAACACCGATAAAGAAGTGCTTCAGTGTTCTCACAACAATTACCCTTCGTGCCAGTCAAGTTGACCGGTCTCACACTGGGGACAACAACACATATGGCACCAAGGCCTTTCCTTAAAGGAGATAACACATGTCAGAGTAAAAGGTTAGATATCTAGAAGAATTATTCCTTAACACTTAGGACTTATCAAGAAATTAGTCTTACTGTTGTCAACTCCATCGGTTGTTAGAAATTATAATTTTGCTACTTAGATGTGTAAGTATATCTGTCAGATGTATAAGCAGAATGTAATTTAAGTTATACCAGGGTGTAACAACAGGTTGAACATTATTTACAGGGTAAATTCCCATGATATTTATTTTACACTTTTACTCCCCCGTAAGACTTGTTTAAGAAGTGTTTATGTATTTGTCTTTGCATAACTCCATTTAATTAATAATTGTGATAATATTGTGGATGGATGACACGTGAATAACTGATTGGACTGAATCAGGTATGGCCAGTTTAAATCAGTTGTACTTTGATAACTAGTTATTTGTGTTTTTTCAGATACAACAATCTGCTGGCGGTCATCTCTCAGAGTCTCGGAGACATCGTGAAGGCTCTGAAAGGTTTGGTGGTGATGTCGTCTGAACTGGAGCTCATGGCCAGCAGCCTGTTCATCAACGTGGTGCCCGATATGTGGAAAGCCAAGGCAAGACACACACACACACACACACACACACACACACACACAGGTTATTGACCTCCTTGATCTCACGTGGTTTGGATGGGATCTTTGTGTTTTTATTAATTTCTTTTCATACATATTCAGACATAATGAAATAGTTTTCGCCAATAATCAATTTTTTACAATAAAACATTACAAAAATAAAGACACAACAGAACCCCCTCCCCCCAAAGGAATGGCTCAAATGGCGCATTTCCATTGCAGCGCGTAGCTCGCTTTAAGCGTGCCGTGTCGTGCCGTCCCCTTTTTTGGTTGTGCTTCCACTAGGCCTCGTTCCGGCGCGGCACGGCGCGGGGCCACTTTTTCCCCTCTTTTCTGGCCCTAGAAAATTGTGGTTCTATCGGGGCCAACAAACAGGGCTGAGTCGGGCTGAGTATGCTAAACTAGAGAGAGGAGTGCTGGCAAGAGGGCTAGAACTACAACAAGATGGACATATTTGACCGTGATTTAATTGTAATACACGTTTCAAAATGATGCCGAAGTAACAACATACTGATACCGGTTAGTAAAAACCATGAATTAATGCTTTGTCAAGTCTGCAGACAGACGGCAGGCGAAAAACCTTTTAAAATTCGTGTTTTTCTAGATGGAGATTGGCTAAGCTAACGCAGTATATGCCCCGACCGTCCACACTCACAACAACGGCCTATACAGACATAAATACAGCAGCGACTGTATTCACCATGACACAGGCAGTCTGTGGTGTGTACTTGTTTAACTTTTGTCGAGTTTCTGAACATATATGAGGAGCTGTGAGCTCTGAGTGCTAACAGCTAACAGCTGTGTTGTGTTTCTGGATTTCTCATTGAAGATGACGTCACGGCTCCGCCTACACTGCGTTACTATAGTAACTACCCCAGTTCCTAAACTGTAATGGAAGCGCAGCATGAAGTGAGTCGGCCCTGTTAAGGCCCAACGCGGCCAAGCCGTACCGAGTGTGGCCGAGGCCGACCGTGTAGTGGAAATGCGCCAAAAGAGTCAACATCAAAAACATTTAAAGACATCACCTTTCAAAATCGTAAGCAAATCTATAGTTTTCTCAGACACACTTTCAATGGATGGGATGTTTTTATAAATTAAGCAATTCCGTAGACAATATGGATAACTTCAAAGGGACGCACACTGAGTCAAGATAAAGGTGTTAGATGTTTTGAAGGTATTGCACGTGCACAGATTACAGCAATGGGCCTTTAACTGAAATAATATTACGACATCCATCTGTGTGTGTCGTACAGTTGGGGGTGACACTTGATCATGTGGGAGTGATTTCAGTGAACAGGGAATCAGATGAACTTCTGCTGACATTTCTGTCCTGCTCTAATAATTCCCGGCTCTGCTTTCTAAGAATACACATGGCGTTCTTTGACGGGCCATGTGTCTCCCTCCCTCCAGGCCTACCCGTCCCTGAAGCCTCTGGCATCCTGGGTGTCAGACCTGATTCTGAGGATCAATTTCCTGCAGAAATGGATCTGTGATGGCATTCCACCTGTTTTCTGGATTAGCGGCTTCTTCTTCCCGCAGGCTTTCCTCACAGGAACGCTCCAGAACTACGCCCGCCGCTCTGGCATCTCCATCAACACAATTGGATTTGACTTTGAGGTCAGACAGTGAGATGTTTGTCTGACAGTGCTTTTGTAACTATTTTTTCACTACTAGCTAAACTACAGCACTACATGTTTTCAGCAATAATATATCATTTATACAAACACACCAAATCTTAATATACTATATATTGTTAAACAATGTGCACATTTTTACTCAAATGTTTTTGTTTATATAAATATTTTTATACCGTTTTATTTAATTTGATTTTTTTAACGTTTTTTCATTTTTTTTTTTGCACATTCTTACTTGAATTTCTTATGTTTATATAAAAAAAAATGTGTATCTTATTTTATTTCATTTTAAAATGGAGCAACTGTAACAAGACCCAATTTCCCCCGGGGTAAATACAATATTCTGAGTCTAATGGATTACGCTTTCCCACTCTAAACTGACTTGTGTTTGAATATCATCGTATGGTCAATTTCATAATATTTCAAAATATATATATTGATTTATTTTTTGCTGACTGTTACGATGGTATATAAGGGCACTCCTAGGTTAAAACAAATTAAAATAACAGAGTTTGGAAGGGGTCATAATACGACAAAAAACTCAATAGATTACAATAGTTTTTTATGAGAAAATAAACATGAATATTCTCTTGTCATACATTTGTGAGAATAAAGCTCAATGGCCCACCTACAATGTCCCCGATATACTTTAGTTCATCTCTTTTGTAATCCCTTCTTCCCATCAGGTGATAGAGAAGTTGGCGTCAGAGATAACAGAGAAGCCAAACACAGGCTGCTACATCCACGGTCTCTTCGTGGAGGGCGCTCGCTGGGATAGTGAAGCGGGTCAAATCACTGAATGCAGGCCCAAGGAGCTCTACACAGAGATGGTTCTGATCAGGCTGATCCCCGAACCCAACCGCAAAGCCCCCACCTCGGGGGTCTACATCTGCCCCATCTATAAGACCCTCACACGGGCCGGTCATTCCACCAACTATGTGATGGCAGTGGAGCTGCCTACAGATCAGAGTCAGAGACACTGATCAAACGGGGAGACGCCCTCATCTGTGCACTGGACTACTGAATACACACACTCTTATTCATACACAAAAACACCTGTAAAAAACTGTATTGTTTCACGGCTCACAACAATTATAATTGCAGTTATGGTCGCTCAGATTTAAAACAGACACTTTGCATGTTGTCATTAAAATGAGCTCATTTAAACTCTCTGTCATAAACTGTTTTTCACAATGCCATATACATTCCCTACGATTTCACAGACGGAGACTTAAACATCTGCATCAGCCAGGTCAAAATGTTCCTGGACGAGTACCAGGACGTCCCGTACAAGGTGGGGGGAGGAGAACTCTTCTGTCTGTATTTAACAACCTGTTAAGATAACAATACCTCAAAGCCACATCATTTGTAGTCACTCTGTGTGTGTTTGAGCCTGCTCATCTGTCTGTCTCCCCTTCTTGTTCTGCACCTGTCCAGGTGTTAAAATATACCACAGGGGAGATAAATTACGGCGGCCGAGTGACAGATGACTGGGACAGACGATGCCTGCTGAGCGTCCTGGAGGATTTCTACTGTCCTGCTGTGCTGGAAGACGGTCACTTCTACTCTTCGTCTGGAGTCTACCGGCAGATAGACACAGATCTGAGATCTTTGGTCTCCATGACAACGCTAACATCAGCTTTGCCCAAAACGAGTCCTTCGCCCTGCTGGGAGCTCTGGTTCGACTCCAGCCTCGAGCTTCATCTGCCGGGGGTAAATCTCTGGAGGAGGTAGCGTTTTTTTGTTGCCGAACACTGTTTAACAGCAATTTGGTTGTGATGTGTTGTGTCTTTAATATCTAGACTACATTTTGAGTTTCATTGTTGATGTTCCATGTTGTAGATAGTGGAGATCGTGGCAGGCATCGTAGAAAAGATTCCTCGGCCTTTCAACATTCAGGACGTGATATATATATATATATATATATACATATTGTTATGTAAGATTATTTACTTTGAGTCACTTGGCTAAAAGGAATCCTGGACCATACATCCTCCATGTTCTAAATCTCTCCTCCTTTACTCTCATTATAAGCCAAAATGAGCTTTTTCCTGCTGGTCTCCACAGTGCTCTCTGAACTGAATACACGTCGTGCTCCTTTAAGACTTTCACACTGGGCAGGTTGAGAAATATGATTTAACTGTAGGAGGGTGGTGCTTAAACAAACAGTGACAGTGACTAGCCATGTGAACACAACTGGAGGACTCCAGAATCAGATCAACGGGCAGCTGAGATCAGCAGATTATCTTCCCCACTGCTCAAAGACTAAAGACTCGATTCTATTTCTATGACATTCAAATTATTTGAAATATCTGGATTTCTCTGAAGAGACAGGCGAGACCGGTTAACAGCATAGTTTTTTTTTAAGAAAAAAAGGCGGGTATATCAGTTCAGAGAGAGAAACATAGTAGTTGTGTAGTTGAAACAAATTGGTTTTAAAGCTTTTTTGTAGATACAGTGGAGTTTGTGTGGGTCCATCCCTGGCCGCGGTGCAGGACAACAGGACGCTCCAGCGGCTCCAGGACTCCGCTCGGCCGTCATCGCATTTCTTTGGTGAATTACTCACGCTTTCCTCCCCAGAGCACCGCCGGTAACAACAAGCCGGTGTCGGGAACATGCTCCAAAATGGAAACGAAGAGGAGAAGCCAGTGGAAGCGCCAAAGGCTGAGGCAGAGCAGGACTCCCTCGCCGCTCTCCCCGACGCTGAGTCCACTCACTTCCCCATGCCCGTTCACCCCAAAGTGGACATAAAGCGGCACGCGGTGACAGACGATTATAAAATCTCCACTCAGGTTCTGGGATTAGGAATCAATGGAAAAATCCTTCAGTGTTTCAACAAGAAGACGGGAGAGAAGTGCGCATTGAAGGTACCGAGGTCACCTGACACTTGTTATAAACAGGGAGTCGAGGATAGACCCCACTCTATAGACCTGAACGGGCCGTCGTCAGGGGGCCGCAGAAAGCAGGGTCGCGTCGTGGGGACAGGCGCGAAACACCCGGAGGTCCCCAGCAGGGAGGAGCGCCGCCCGGCCGCTGGCGAGGCACAGCGGCGGCGGGCACGAAGTCCTCGGGAGGAAGGAGCCGTGTCCCCGGGAGGAGGGAGCTGTGGACAGGGGAGAGGCCGGGAGAGGCCAGACGGGGCGCCGTCGAGGCGAGCCGCGGGTAGAGGTGAGGCCAGGCAGGGTCCCGAAGCAGTCGGATGTCGATAGCCGCCGGTAGCTGCTAGACATCGTCAGCCGTTGCTAGCAGTCGTCGCTAGCCGCTGGTAGCAGCTAGCCGTTAGCTGTCGGGGCTAGCTGTCGTGGCTAGCTGTCGTTAGCAGTTGAGGCTAGCCGCTCTCGACGGCCGGTAGTCGCTGTCGTCGTCGTCGGCCCCGGAGCCTCTGCTAGGCGGCGTGCCCCCACCAGGGAAGGTGCTGCAGCGTGCAGTGGCAAGCACCTCTGGGGTAAATCGCCGGGCGGCCAGGAAGAACCGGCAAGCTTCTTCGGCCAAAGCGTGGGGCTCAACACTAGCCGTGTTAGCTAGCGCAGCCTGGACATGCAGCCGCATGTCCCGAAGAAACAGCCCCACGAGGTAGAAGTCGGGTTCCTCCATACCTAGCAGGTCGTGCATCGTCTCCTCGTAGCAGGAAGGCTTGCCGCCCTCCAGCGCCGAGACGAAACGGGAATGGTGAGCGACGTTCCCAGCCATTCCGTGGGGCGCACCGAGCCTCAGTCCGTGCGCACGTGGCAGCAACGGACGTCTCCAAGAATCCCCGGCATTCCGAGAAAAGCTGCGCTTTCTGCCGTGTTCGATTTAGTCTCGGATCCTTCGCGAGACTTATGTCAGGGTCACCAATGTAGTGCCGAGAGAAGGGAGTCGGAAGCGGTGCATCGAAGGTGCAAAACTGTACTTTACTGAGCAGCAGAAATGTACATGCTGTCGTGTCGCAGCACGAGAACAGAGGAGAAAGTGAAAGGGGGAACACACAGTAGGTACACAGTAGGTACCGTCAACACATGTGTCCGTGCGGAAACAATACCCCCAACCTGTAGTTCCATGATTGGATTATGTAACCCCAGTGTATGAATCAGTGATCACTACACAGTAGAGGATAGACCCCACTCAGATCACTTTCAGCCCAGTTAGTACTTTAATCATAAAAGTTAAAGTTATGTAGCATAATTTAAAACCTATGAGCATTGTGTGTGTTTACCAAATCATTATCCTTGAAAATGATACTTGACATCAGTAGTGTAAAGTAATTAAGTACATTTAATCAAGTACTGTAATGTATCAATTTCAGTAACATAAACACTAAAGCGTCTTTGAGCACCTGACAGCGCTAACTAAATTAATCTATTATTATTATTATTACTCCCACCACATCTTAGAGGTAAATATGGAACTCAACCCTAACCCTCCACTTAATTTATTTAATACATATAGTTACTAGTCATTAGGCAGGTTTGGATTAATGAAATTAACTATATTAAACACATTAATACTGTAACTTTAGTTATAACTTCAGTAACTGGTCAGGATGGCTGGTTTAGCTGGTGGCTGGTTTAGCTGGCACCAGCTAAACCAGCCATCCTGACCAGCTAAAACAAACAGCATAGACCAGCATAGTATGCTGGTCACCAGCATCCATCTATCACCAGTTTATGTTTAATAATAGTAGTAAATATACCATGCTGGAAGCTTACCAGGATGCCAGGTGACCAGCATACATTGTTTAAATACTGGTATGATTATTTAAACCAGAGAACATAAATATATTACCAAGATTCATTGTGTCATGTATTCTGGTATCTACCAAAATAAAGACATTGTATAGTGTTCATAACAGTATTTTAATTTAATAAATAGCAATAAATAGCTAGTTAATATAATAAAATACACAGTAACAATACACTAATTATACAAATAACAACCAACCTGCAAATCAACCTATACATCCACATAAATATATTATCTATAAGAGGTGCATTCGATTTAAAATAAAAGTAATAAATATAATTCAATATTTAAATGGTAACAAAAACAGTAACACTATGTATGATAAGAAAAAGGCAACAAAGAAAGTGTTTTTTGTTTTTCCTTGTTCATGTCCATAATGTTTCCCGTTGTGTAGTGTCCAGCCTTTCCCAATCTGGCCTGCACTTCTGTCTGCTGAAGCCACTTCTTGAAGCAAACTGAAAAGAAATATACAGATATAAGTACACTGTAAAAAGAAAACTTGACATTTACGTTAACATTTGGGCTGCTGTGGTTGCCAGAACTTGACGGTTAAAGTATGGTAAAAGACATTACAAATTACAGTTGGTTGGCATAGACGTTACAGTCAACAATTGCTTATGGTGAATTACAATGGCAAAAACCAATACAGCTAGTGTACACGGTGAAGCTGTATTATCTGGGAAATAGAAGAATCGGATCAGGATTCGGTATTGGCAGACAATCAATATCAAATGAATCGGATCATTATTAGCATCAGCACTTGATCACTTGTGTCGACTTGCAGCCTAAATACAAAGATAACTCCACTCCTCTCCTACTACTCTTACCTCTAATAAGCCTTGGTAGAACTAGGGTCCAGAACTGACTGAAGACATGTGGAACAGAGTCCCAGACAGGCATGGTTCCATGTACAGGGAACTGGAACTTTGAACAGGTGTTTTCATCTTTTCTGCCTGAAGATTCACAAGTTCTTGATCAGGTGTTTGATGTGGGCTGGCATGATCCTTTCTGCAGCGATGAATAAGGAAAACAAAGAAAACATTATTAATAATAGTACATTTGTTTTTGTGTACTTATGATGAATAAGCGTTTCTGTCATCCCATAGCTCCTCAGCACAGCGGATGATGTGAGTAAGATGCAGGAAGAGCTGGGGACGATGAGACCACTTTTGGAGGAGGCCACCAGGGACACTGAAGTCACCATGGAGACCATCAAAGTAAGGGAATTAAGACTTAGACTAGTACTAAAGTCTTATAGTCTCTAAAGTAAAAAACAGAACGTTTTTTTCTTCATGGTTTGTGTCCAATATATCTGCATGAGCCTGTTTTTTGGAAAACGTACCCTTCAGTGTGATTTATGCTCTACCTTGCCAGATAGACACGGTAGTTGCAGAGGATACCCGGAAGTTGGTGCAAGCAGAGGAAGCCAAGGCCTCAGAGAAAGCTCGTTTTGCAGGAGCCATTGCTGCGGATGCCCAGAAAGACTTGGACCTGGCTCTGCCCGCCCTCGACTCTGCGCTCAACAGCCTCAAGTCCCTCAACAAGAACGATATCACTGAGGTCAGGGATTTAAATGATGGTCAGTTGAACATATTCCTGAAATAGTATTACATATGTAGAAAATAACCTTTTTGTCCATAGGTGCGAGGCATGCAGCGCCCTCCCCAGGGGGTGAAGCTGGTTATGGAGGCAGTGTGCATCATGAAGAGCATCAAACCCAAAAGGGTACCTGGAGAGAAGCCTGGCACCAAGGTGGACGACTACTGGGAGGTTGGTAAGGGTCAGCTTCAAGACCCTGGCAAGTTTCTGGAGAGCCTCTTTAACTTTGATAAGGTAAGGCTCCTAGCTAGTACAGTTATTGCCAAGTCATTGTTTGTACAGTATATGTTGTCATTAGTGCTTCCATCGAAAATTATTTTAGTATCTTTTAGATTTTATTTCAGTACCTAAAGTTCTCAAAAACGTCAGTGTTCAATGCTGATTTGGTTATTTCCTGTTTGGGAGATGTATTCATTTTCTGCTCGCAATCATTCTGCAGGAAAACATCCCAGAGAGCGTGATCAGTTTAGTCCAGCCCTACATAGATAATGAGGAGTTCCAGCCAGCCAACATTGCCAAAGTTTCCAAAGCCTGTACCTCTATTTGCCAGTGGGTGCGAGCCATGCATATATATCACTTTGTTTCCAGGGGTGTGGAAGTTAAAAGGGTAAGAAGTGAAATCCACATTTGAGCCATGAGGTCATCGATGTAAGACACCACTTTAACATTAAATATGTAAATATTCACAGACAGCCCTCAAGGAGGCCTCGGAGGACTTAGCAGCGACGCAGCTCATCCTGGATGATGCCAATGAAAAGCTGGCGGTGGTTGAGGGCGGCATTGCCACTTTGCAGGCCAAGTACCAGGCCTGTGTGGCCAAGAAAGATGAGCTGGACGAAAAATATCAACTGTGTGAGGCCCGCCTCATCCGAGCAGACAAGGTCAGAAGGAGGGACAAGATAAGCTAAGACTTCCCTGTTCCCCAGGGGGCAATTTAGAATTACACCAGCAGGTGGTTAGAAACAGGATACATATACAGAATACAAAAACAAGATGTACTGTCTCTGTACTTAGTGTTATATTGTCTATACATATTTAACTTATTTTTGTATTGGTAGTTGAATAATAAACTGGCTTTAATTTCCTCAGCTTATTGGTGGACTGGCAGATGAGAAGGTGCGTTGGAAGGAAACAGTGCTAAATCTGGAGTACATGGTCAATAATGTGGCCGGCGATGTGCTTCTGTCTGCTGGATACCTCGCATACCTGGGACCCTTCACTGTAAGTCTGTGTGAATACATATCACAAAGTATGTTAAAGGTAGGGTAGGTAAGAATGGAGAAACCAGCTCGAGTGCGCTAGAACTTTAAAGTACGCAGCCGAAAAAAATCTGCCCCTTCCTTCAGACTCCCTTACAGAGCCCCTCCTCCAACACACACGAACGTGCACATGACCAATGAGGGCACGAGATAAGTTTGTGCACAGATGGAAGGCTGACAGGCAGGTAGGCCATCCAGTTATTTTAGCCGGGCCGGCTCAGATGATTGGTCGTGCTTTTTACAGTACTACGGCTTCCACGGATTACATTTTTTAATGTATTTATTGTCAAAGCGTTTAATAATAATAATAATAATAATAATAATAATAATAATAATAATAATAATAATTCATTTATTTTATATAGGCGCCTTTCAAGGCTCTCAAGGTCGCCGTACAAATACATAAAAAACAAGATACACAATAGATAACACCAGCATAAGAAACATAAATAAGACAATGCAGTATATAAATCAATCAATCAAATAACCAAATAAATAAAAACAGAGGATGTGTGATGGATAATGATCAGGGTGGATATGCGAGTGTGAAGAGATATGTTTTGAGGCGTGATTTGAAAATGGGGAGAGAGTCAGTGTTGCGGATGTCAGGTGGGAGGGAGTTCCAGAGGCTATCGGGATGTTAAGAGCTTTCCATGAAATATAACAAAAAGTGTTTCTGAAGTGAATTACCTACCCCACCTTTAACTGTCATGCTTTTCTGGTGGATAGAAAAAGTATAACTTTAGTTTTTGCTCTTCTAGACTTATGTTAAATAAGTAGGTACATTATTGTTAAATATTGTTGAAAGAATTGCAATGCATTATTGGTAGGTTAGCCTTATTGTGTCACTGTTTTTCTGCCTGTTGTGTGACTTGCTGCTGTTAAATACCAACCACCTATGTGCAATATGTGCTAGGTGTGCAATATATATAGATGCCGTTAATAACTGTGTAATATATGCCTGGCTGCTAAATCCGTAGAACTGTTACAGGATGTGTATTTTTTTATATGTAACTTTTTATTTTGTATTATATATGTTTTTATTATATCATAACTTAGTACTTTTTTTAAATGCATGTCACATATTTAACATATGTAACATTAAGCGGTCTGTGGCTCTTTTTCCTGCTGTAACTACGCACATTTCCCCTCCGTGGGACTAATAAAGGGGTTCTGATTCTGATTCTGTTCCGGTTCCTAATCAGTGCAGCACTATTGTGTGACTTTGATCAGTATTGTTTTTATGTTTAGGGAGAGCCATGGCAGAGGAGTGGCTGCAATGAGGAGTGGCTGCAATGTTTCAAAAAGCTAAATGTTCCACACACTGACGAACCAAACCTGATCAACACCTTCGGAGACCCGGTCAAGATCCGCTCATGGCAGGTCGGAACAAGATTTTGTGTTAACTATTGATTTTTTAAATATATTTTTCGGGGCCAGTGAGTTTACTTAACTTAATGGTAATTTACCTTTTCTGTCAATCGTCATTTTAATGTGCACAGATATCAGGTCTGCCCAAGGATAACCTCTCAGTGGAGAACGGTGTGATCACCCAGTACTGTCTGCGCTGGCCTTTATTCATCGATCCTCAGGGACAAGCCAACACTTGGATAAAAAACATGGTAAGGTCTCTTACCTGTGTACTGATCCGACCATCACTGCAGAGGGCGCCAGTGAGACAAAAAGAGATAGAAAGTAGCTGTGTCAAGATATCTACTGGTTTCAGTAAATATATGTGTACACATTACCCTGAATTCCTTATGATAGCTTCTCAGTGTCTGTATTTAATCCTCCGTTTATTCAGACCTGCTTCTTGTTGTCCCCCAGGAGAAGGACAGTAGATTGGAGGTCATTAAGTTAAGTGACCGGGACTTCCTCCGCAGTCTTGAGAATGCCATTCGCTTTGGGAAACCCTGCCTCTTGGAGAATATAGGGGAGGAATTGGATCCTGCCCTAGAGCCTGTCTTGCTGCAACAAGTTAATACATACCCAAACAAGAATCTCTTGTGCAAATATCCACGATCCACCATTCACTGGTCTGATGATACACTTTTTTTGGCCCATAGACATTTGTGCTGAGAGGCAGCACCATGCTGAAGCTGGGGGACACAGTCATCCCTTACCAACAAGGCTTCAAGATGTACATCACCACCAAGCTGCCTAACCCACACTACTCTCCAGAGGTGGCCACCAAAGTCACCCTCATTAACTTCACCCTGTCACCAAGGTAACACATGTTATAAACCCAAAAAGGCAAAATCTAGTTTGGTTTAAACAGGGGTGGGGAACCTCCGGCATCCGGGCCGTATACGGACCGCGAGACCATTTGATACGGCCCTCGAGGTAATTTATAAACACACGCAAAAAAAAATTAAAGAAATCTAGACCGCAAAAAAATTAAACAAGCGAGTGCCTGTTTTTCCTGGCCAAGGTCAGGGTCCTTGAACCCGGCACTTCGGAAATTGCAGTACCCATAAGGAGCCGTACACATGCCGCAGTTTTTGCGTGGCTGTGTCTTTAGTTGATAGCCCAGTATTTCAGTCTCATATGTTTGTTGATTGTTAGTAAATAATATTCCAAAACATCCTTGATATTAAAATGAAATGTGAGCAAAAGATTGACAAGAAATCTGCTTGTGACTTTCAGAAAGAAATCCAACATTTCTTCAGAATGAATTCAGTTGATGAACTTTATTCTAACAACTAATGTCTGGCTGTCACTGTCTTTATTCTCAGCGGTCTGGAGGACCAGCTGCTGGGCCAGGTGGTGGCTGTGGAGCGTCCAGACCTGGAGGAGGCTAAGAACCAGCTGATCATCAGCAACGCCCAGATGAAACAGGAGCTGAAAGAAATTGAGGATGAGATCCTGTTCCGACTCAGCTCCACTGAGGGAAACCCCGTGGACAACGAGGAACTCATCCAAGTGTTGGGAGCTTCCAAGATCAAAGCTGGAGAGATCAAGGTAAGAAAGTGGGAGAGCTATAATCTCCAATACCCCAACAAACTTCATATATTGTGATTCTTTAGCAATGTTCCATCAAAGTCATATGCTACTGGATTTTACTAACGCAAGCTGGTTTTGCTGGCAGGCCAAAGTGGTGGTGGCAGAGCAGACGGAGAAGGACATTGACGCCACCCGCCTGGAGTACGTTCCAGTGGCTGTGCGCACACAGATCCTATTCTTCTGTGTATCGGACCTGTCGAATGTCGACCCCATGTACCAGTACTCACTGGAGTGGTTCCTCTGCATCTTCATGGCTGGCCTTGCCAACTCTGAGAAAGCAGGTAGAATTTCCACAGTAGCTCATATACACAGAACTATGTCTGTTCAGATGGAAAAGACATGAAACTGCTTTATGGCTTTAAAACACATGGGAACATTATTTTCTGCTTCCGCTGAATGTATTTGATGTGAGGCTGTGGCTCAGTGGGATTGTGCGCTGAACTTAGTGCGCTGAACTTTGAATCAGGGGATAGCAAGTTCGAGTCTCACTGCAGTCAGCATGTCGTTGTGTCCCTGGGCAAGACACTTCACCCCAAATTGCTCCTGTGGGGATTGTCCGCAGTACTGAATGTATGTAAGTCGCTTTGGATAAAAGCGTCTAACAAGTGACATGTCATGTAATGTTTTTTACAGACACGGTGGAGGAGAGGATTGCCAACATAAATGAGTTTTTCACCTTCAGCCTGTACAGCAATGTGTGCCGCAGCTTATTTGAGAAGAACAAACTCATGTTTGCCTTTCTCCTGTGCGCTCGCATCATGATGAATGAGAACAAAATTGATATGGTGAGAAACGTGGGAGTTTGCAGTCTCCCTCCCCTCTTTAATTTCCTGTGGGAACTCGTACAAACACAGAGGTGGAGTTTGTCCTTTTACATTTCCTGAATTGAATTGGTCCCTCTGTGGCAGGCTGAGTGGCATTACCTGCTGTCTGGAGGGATGCCCGCCCAGGAGCTGACGAACCCAGCAGTGAGTTGGCTGTCGGAGCGAGCCTGGCAGGACATTCTGGGCCTCAGCGCTCTGGACAACTTCAGAAACCTGGCAGAGAGCTTCCCCGAACATCTGCAGGGTTTCAAGAGCATCTTTGACAGCAACCAGCCTCACAGGCATGCATAGAAAAAAACCCTTGTTAACAAATGGACACTTGTTTCCTTCATTTCAACTGTGCAGTAGCCGTCCATATCTAACGGGGTGTGCATGTGTGTGTCTTTGCTTATAGGGACCCTCTCCCAGGACAGTGGGACACCGAGCTGGACTCGTTCCAGAAGCTGCTGGTGCTGCGCTGTCTGAGGGCCGACCGTCTTGTTCAAGGCCTGCAGGACTTTGTCTCGGCTCAGCTGGGACAACGCTTCATAGAGCCTCAGGAAGAGTTTCTCTCCTCCCTCGTGCCCTAGAAGGTTCGTTTGGATCTGATGTAGTGGGGTTGTGTGAGGTTCGTATCCTTAGTCAGTGTATTACCTACTGTAGCTGGAGATCTAGCCTCCAGGTTGGAAAAGCAGACAGCAGTACTGAAGCAAAGAAATCCTCTGCTGTGGACCGAGGCAGCAGCTAAACCTATTATAGCTACCTAAAAGAAAGGAAAATTAATATAAATGTAAGCCTTAAATATATTTATAATATTTTCAACGCTTTACCTTCCCTTCGGACATCCCTTTCGGATAAAGAACTGAGGCTATTATATCCTGGGTATCCTGTCTTTAAAGCCACCAGACAGCATTTACAAAAACAGTAATTTTACCTCACTGACTGCCTCCTCATCAGCAGTCTAACTGGGACACTCTGACTGCCATGTAGGATAAGAACCTCTCCTCTCCTCTCCTCTCCTCTCCTCTCCTCTCCTCTCCTCTCCTCTCCTCTCCAGCAGTCTAACTGGGACATTCTGACTGCCATGTAGGATAAGAACCTCTCCTCTCCTCTCCTCTCCTCTCCTCTCCTCTCCACTCCGACTGCCATGTACTGTAGGATAAGAACCTCATACAACCTCACTTCATACAATCCAAACTAACCCTTCACATTAAACCAATATGTATGCACTGACACAATTAAGTCTTATTTGTGACAGTGGCTCCGAATAGTGAAGCAAAATTAACATTGCAATTTAATTCAATTTCTTTTGGTTTGTACTGCAGCAGTGCAATGTGTGGAGTACAGATTTACTATGCTAATTTCAGCCGGGAAAAATACATGTGGATGTTTTGCTTTACAGTCGTATTAATGGCTTGTTACCCTCTCGATCTTCTCACAGACGTCAGACCTGTCGGTGGTCTTCAAGGAGTCTTCCCTCTCCACCCCCCTCATCTTTGTGCTCTCCCCTGGCACAGACCCCGCTGCTGACCTCTACAAATTTGCGGATGTCATGCAGTTCTCCAAGAAAATGAGTGCCATCTCTCTGGGCCAGGGCCAGGTCAGAGCCAGGGGCTGCTCTCTCTCTCTCTCTCTCTCTCTCTCTCTCTCTCTCTCTCTCTCTCTCTCTCTCTCTCTCTCTCTCTCTTCGATACACAGCGCTGTAAAACACTTTCACACAGAACCAGGCCGTTCTCATCTCACTTGTTAAGAATGGCCACCTATGTGATAATTGCTTTCTCTATTTATGGCCATGGGACAGGGCGATATACACAACTATTTTAGGCAGATGCTCGATTCCAGGACACAAAAAAAAGCACCAAAAAAATTACAACACCTCATGTGTAGGTTTTGGGATGAATGCAGACTCATATTCCACCCACCGGAAACTGGCCAAACATTTCTCCCAGCAACACTCTCCCCCTGAGGTTGTTCAAAAGGTGTTAGCGTGTGTTTGTCACATCACTTGCAACTATGTGAGTTAGACTCTTGGCTTGTGCTGCGCTGTTACATCAGCCTGTCCTCGTTTTACGTCTCCATTGAACCTAGTGCTCTTAAATGTTTCAGTAAGACTGCAAGAATGTCAAACTAGCTACAGGGAGATGTATATGTCGACCACTAAATAACTACACCCTTTTACAAAATATGGATGTTTTCTCTTATATTAAAGCTTCTGTTTGTGACTCTTGTTGTTGTCCTCTGCCTTTTGTTCTGCTGTTGTTTGTGTGATTCAGGGCCCCTGGGCAGAGAAGCTCATGCTCGCTGCTATGGAGAGAGGTCATTGGGTCTTCTTCCAGAACTGTCACCTGGCGCCCAGCTGGATGCCCTCCCTGGAGAGACTCATTGAAAACATCAGCCCAGTAAAGGTCAGACCATTACGCATTGATCACATGGTCTGTGCACTTTTGTAGTATTGTGAGTTGATCAATTCCTTTTATTGCTTGTCTCATAACAGGTGCACAAGGACTTCCGTATGTGGCTCACGAGCCTTCCCAGCAACAAGTTCCCAGTGTCTATTCTCCAAAATGGGTCAAAGATGACCATCGAGCCTCCCAAGGGAATCAAGGCCAATCTACAGAAGACCTACCTGAGGCTCACCAATGAGTTCTTCACCTCCTCCACAAAGGTCCGTCTGCTCCTGCTTCATATCTGGATCCACTCAAATGTTAGATTAGAAAACCAGCCATTTTGGAGCTGTTTAAACATCCAGCATCTAGTGGTGACTTTAACTTCTCTCCTCTCCCCTCTCCTCTCCTCTCCTCTCCTCTCCTCTCCTCTCCTCTCCTCTCCTCTCCAGGCATCACACCTCAAGGCTTTGCTTCTGTCTCTGTGTCTCTTCCATGGAATTTCTCTGGAGCGAAGGAAGTTTGGCCCACTGGGCTTCAACATTCCCTACGATTTCACAGACGGAGACTTAAACATCTGCATCAGCCAGGTCAAAATGTTCCTGGACGAGTACCAGGACGTCCCGTACAAGGTGGGGGGAGGAGAACTCTTCTGTCTGTATTTAACAACCTGTTAAGATAACAATACCTCAAAGCCACATCATTTGTAGTCACTCTGTGTGTGTTTGAGCCTGCTCATCTGTCTGTCTCCCCTTCTTGTTCTGCACCTGTCCAGGTGTTAAAATATACCGCAGGGGAGATCAATTACGGCGGCCGAGTGACAGATGACTGGGACAGACGATGCCTGCTGAGCGTCCTGGAGGATTTCTACTGTCCTGCTGTGCTGGAAGACGGTCACTTCTACTCTTCGTCTGGAGTCTACCGGCAGATAGACACAGATCTGGATATCAAGGTCAGATAAACGCAGGGTCTTTAAAAAGATTGTGATCAGAACACTAATCCGTCTCTCACTGTTCAGTTTAATACATGAAAAGTCTTTAGGGGGTATATTGCAAGACAGCCATCTATTAAACATGAAGATATCTTAAATTAAATAACATGAACAATTATTATTCTACAAGCAGAAAACATGACATTTGTGTGTAATGTAAGTAAACATTAAACATTTTACTATAAGTAAAAGTTAAATAAAATAAAAACTTTAAAATGCCAAATAAAATAAAGTAAGGGAAAAATAAAATGTACAAATCAAATGTGATATGCTACAGAAACTTATGAACTGCTGACTATCATAACCCGTTGCTCTGAAAATCTTGCTTTAGGGTTACCTGGCATACATTCGTGGTTTGCCCATCAATGATACACCTGAGATCTTTGGTCTCCATGACAACGCTAACATCAGCTTTGCCCAAAACGAGTCCTTCGCCCTGCTGGGAGCTCTGGTTCGACTCCAGCCTCGAGCTTCATCTGCCGGGGGCAAATCTCTGGAGGAGGTAGCGTTTTTTTGTTGCCGAACACTGTTTAACAGCAATTTGGTTGTGATGTGTTGTGTCTTTAATATCTAGACTACATTTTGGGTTTCATTGTTGATGTTCCATGTTGTAGATAGTGGAGGAGATCGTGGCAGGCATCGTGGAAAAGATTCCTCTGCCTTTCAACATTCAGGACGTGATGGAAATATTCCCGGTGCTCTATGAAGAGTCCATGAACACAGTGCTCATCCAGGAGGTCATCAGGTAATGTTAGGCTGAGGATTAACCACAGTCCAGACCACACGTCAGGTGTGCTTCATATAATAACACACACCACTCCGCTCTGTTGCTGTACATGTGGCACCCCTGGGATGTGTGACCACATTAATATAATAAGTATTATATTTAGAGTTAGAATATGCCTTTATTTTGTACATCTGTTATTTTCATTTCACTAACGGGGTCGATAGATGCAGTGAGTAGTGAGGCGGAACGTTTGTGTTCGATTCAATGGTTCCGGGGTACCGATTAAAGCGACGGACGTTCCCGGGGTTTCCTCAGAAGTAATCTGGAAGGAAACTGAACACAAGGTGTCCTCATTACTTCTCTTTCACCTGCACGATACAGGTTGGTAAACTGTGCATAAATCACAATGAATCCCCCATAAGGTTTGCGAAGATAATATGTAACGGCCCGCTAACAGTTAGAAGACTTTGTACCGCTGTTTACATGTGTAAAACCGTTAAATGGTGTGAGTGTATTAGCCTAGCTTCCCCGGTACGGCGCCATTTTGGGGACAACGTGGTCTGACGCAGTAAGGATACAAGTTTGTCAGTATATCTGAAGCCTCCTGTACACTGAGTATTTACATGCATGTATAGTGATTGTATCATAACCGTTACTGTGGTCCTCATATCGGGGACCCGTAACAGTTCTTGGGGGCTCGTCCGGGATCGGCGCCACCTACTGGTCGGGAGCTGATCCATTAATGACTTCTAGGACCAATACCGGAGCTGATGCGAGCAGTAGTGATGGGAATTCCGGCTCTTCTTGGTGAGCCGGATCATTTGGCTCGGCTCACCAAGAAGAGCCGGCTCTTTCGGCTCCCAAACGGCTCTTCAGTTTACCACATATTATACCTTTTATAATTCAATCAAATGTAGCCCTGTTTTGACTAATGATTTAAATTATTCAATACATCCTTTGTACTGAAGTATTCAAAAGTAAAAATTACATGTTTAATATCAATTATTGCTGTGGCCAATTGTTTCATTGCATTTACAGACCCTTGTATCTCTCTGATACCACCCAATGAATGCACAGACTTGTTTGTAGAACCACGCTACACAAAGCAGATAGCAACACAAAAACTTAAGCATAGACATTTAAAAAAAGGGGCTACTGTATCGACATTTTAAAATTATATTTAAAGAAAGGGCCCTGACAAAACAGCAGGGCTCTATTTCAGTATTAACTATAGAAAAAAAGACAGCAACAGCTGACATCAAATCTTTGCTGAGCCCAAGGATAATCATAAATAAATAACATAGTGAAAATAAATATATTGCAATGCTCAGTACAGCAGCATCCAACCGTCTCTAATCATAAAAAAACATAATAAAAATAAATGTATTGCAATGCTCAAAACAGCAGCATCCAACAGTCTCTAATCCTTGGATATTACATGTCACTGCATGCATGCACGGAGCAGCTGTAGCGCGGAGATCATCATATCATTCTGTCTTGTATTACTTAAAAAAAAAAAAAAACGGCTCGTTCGCGGGCGCGAGCCGGCTCCCGTCGTTCACTTAAAAGAGCCGGCTCTTTGAGCCGGCTCGTTCGCGACCGACACATCACTAGCGAGCAGAGAGCTGTAAGCTGGAGCAGACGTGGAACCGTTGCTGAACTGGGCAATCCATCGTGAGTGAATTGGAAGAGCTGCTGTCATGTCGGAGAGCCAAAGGAAAAGTCTGGTGTGGGACATCAGAAGAAGCCTACTCTCCTTGTCAGCGAAAGAACTCCTCCACATTGCCAAGGAAGTGGGTCCAGTGCCAGACCAGGAACCGTCTGAGCTCGAGGAGGGAGACGATGAAGGCTGCTTCAACTACATCAGTTTATTTATGCACAGTAAGCACTTGCTTGAGTCAGAAGATAGTGGGATGGCTCACTTGTTGATGTTGAAAGATGCTATTGATGACATTGTGAAAGACAGAGAAGTAAGTGTACAGGGTTTGCCACATGTAGAACCACACGTAGAGATAAACACAGGTAACAACACTAAGCAGATATCTGAAGCTGAGACAGATCTCACCGCTTCTCCAGTCAGTTTTAATGCTGTAGGTGATAACACAAATACTGGGTTACTGGAAATGCTTAATAGCTATGAAGACCTGGGCAAAAGGTTAAGACAAAGCATTATGGCACCTACAACACAGACACTAGAACAACCCCCACTGTCACCAGCACACACTAGTAAGTCTCATCATAACATCCCACACTCACCAGCTCAGTCTGCTGCCCAGTCCGGCCCTGAGACAATGATCTCCTTAAGAGGACTCTCTTACCTCCAGAGGAGGGAGTTTAAGGTGCAAGGGGGTTAGGTTGGTGATAATTCTTCGGACATAAGCTATAACAATGTCTAAGCAAATCGAGGAAGGGATTAGAGAAGGTGTCCATGACGGAGACATAGTTCGTGGTGTGCTCCGAATCATACAACCTGGAACTTTCAAAGACATGCTAATAAATAAGGATGACCTGACAGTGATGGAGCTCAAAGGCTTTCTCCAGGCCCACTTAAGAGAGAAAAACAGTACGGAGTTATTCCAAGAATTAATGTGTGCTAGACAGGATGATAATGAAACACCACAACAGTTTCTCTACCGAGTGATAGGGTTAAAGCAACGTGTCCTATTCACCTCCAAACTGTCAGACGCAGGCATTAAATACAGTCCAGCTACTGTTCAAGATGTGTTTCTACATACGGTCTTGCAGGGACTTGGATATAAACACAGTGATGTACGCAGAGAACTAAAGCCTCTTCTATCAAGTGGTGAGGTGAGTGATGAAACAATATTACGCCATGTAATGAGAATCACCAGTGAGGAGAGTGAGAGACAGAAGAGGATAGGTCCTTCTCGTCGGCAGGCAACAACTAGTGCTCATAGCGCACAACTTGAGCTTAACAAAGTCCAAGAGTGTGGCAACAAACAAGAGAGCACAGCACACAAAACAAAGACAGACCCAATAAAAGAGCTTGCAGCCAAGGTAGATGAACTAACCAGCATGGTTGAGGCTATGAGACAACAAAAGCAGCCACATCCGGCAGACATGATTAACCATAACCAATACTCTCAAAACAGAGTGAGACCCAGGAGAGAGAAACCTTTTGGTTGTTCAAAATGTGTCGAACAAAACTGGCCAGATTGTAACCACTGTTTCTATTGTGGGGATGGAGGACACAGGGCTGTGGGCTGTTTAAAGAGACAGGAGAGTCAGGGAAACTCAAGCCGGTCACTGCAGCGGGGTTGCCAGTGATCGGATCCACAATACGACCCCAAGCTGAACATTCTGGTGAGGCAAAAGCACAAACCAGTTGTAAGGGCAAAACAGTTGAAGTAGCTGGTGCCCAGAATAGTTACCAGCAAGATGAACCCTCGCAGTTTTCTTTTGGTTCACCAGGGGTGAAACGTAGAACTGTTGCCAAGCTGATAGGGAAAAAGTCGCTAATACAGTGTAATCTAAACGGATTGGCAGTGACTGCATTGCTTGACTCCGGTGCTCAAGTCAGTATCATAAGCCGCGCCTGGAAAGAACAATATCTGCCTAATCTTGATGTTCGACCAATATCGGAGATTATCGAGGATCTGGACGAGCTAAAGGTGTATGCAGTTAATGGCGAGCTTATTCCGTTTGATGGCTGGGTAGCCATTATGACCAACCTGCCAGGAAATGAAGAACCCAGTCTTTCCATCAGTGTTCCATTCCTAGTCACAAGGTTGGCCATGGAGAGACCATTGGTTGGTTTTAATGTTTTGGAGGAAATCATTGAGGGACAGCCAGAACGATTGATATGCACTCTGGTTAAACTGCTTCGTGATGCCATCAGTGTTCCGGTGGAGAAAGCCGAAGCAATTGTGAGCTTTATTCAGGCAGTTGAACCAAGTACGTCGCAGGGACGCCTAAGAACAGGTGTAAATGACATCGTCATTCCGGCTGGTCATGTCACCTGGGTGAGGTGTCGTGTTCCCCAAACCCTGAACCCCTCTGATCGTCTGGTGTTGTTTGAAGCTGATGAAGACAGTCATCAATTATCGCAGCTGGATTTAGGGACAGGTTTGTTTGAGATACAGAACCCTGCAAAGCCTTATGTCACAATTCCAGTAGGCAATAACACCAAACATGATGTCACCTTACCACGCAAGACAGCCCTGGGCGTATTGCAGCACATTGAAAGGTTTGTGGATGCTGAATCTCCTGACAAGACAACATGTACTGCAACAGTCAATGAGGTCTCAACACAACCCCTTGAACCAATCCAAAAAGCTGAGCCGATTCCACCCCTGTGGCACCCACCAGTGGACCTCAGTCACTTGGAGGAGGAACAACAAGAGATTGCCAAGAGAATGTTGTACGAAGAATCAAAGGCTTTTGCGAGGGACGGAAATGACATTGGCTGTAACCCTAGCCTACAAATGGTGATAAATCTGAAGGACGATATTCCAGTGCAAAGGACGTATACTTCCATACCAAAGCCGCTATTGAGGGAGGTCAAAGAATATATTCAAGACCTACTGGTGAAGGGATGGATTGTTAAATCCAAGTCTTCCTATTCTGCCCCTGTTGTGTGCGTACGGAAGAAAGATGGCTCTTTGCGCCTTTGTATAGACTATCGCCTGCTCAATCAGAAAACTGTACCAGACCGACACCCACTGCCTCGGATACGGGACCTACTGGACACCTTGGGGGGATACTCTTGGTTCAGCATCCTTGACCAGGGTAAGGCATACCACCAGGGTTTTGTAGTTGAAGGTTCACGCCATCTGACCGCCTTCATTACACCCTGGGGGCTTTATGAGTGGGTGAGAATACCGTTTGGTCTTACGAATGCACCAGCAGCTTTTCAGAGAAGTATGGAGGAGATGTTGTGTTCTTTGAGGGATGAGTGCTGTATCCCTTACCTGGACGACATCCTGTGTTACTCCCAGACCTTTGAAAATCATGTGGAGGTGGTTCGGAAAGTGCTCCAAGCGATACAGAGTCAGGGA